ATGATCGTTCGTTCCCGTGCAAGTAGAAACAATCTGCAATTGTGTTATATGAGTAGTCGCTTTTCCAGTATATACATTTCATTCCATGCAAACTATAGGGATCCGAAAGGGACCTCACTTTCATCCACCCTGTCGCCTCATCTGTAACTCAAGCCCAGTCAGGATTAGTGAGGAGCAGCAGCAGCAGCTGTACTTGTACTCACTGGGGACAGATAACTCAAACCTAATAAATATCTCCCTCCCAGTTCACGTTTCGGGTTGAATTGATTGGCTCCTTTTATGTCGATGAATATTCTGTTTAGTTAGTCCCTTGCACTTATTCTTTCGATTGCTCTAGAGCCACCGCCGCCACGGTGGTATCATGTCCTATTTGCTTTTGATTTAATAGGTTGTTGGCACGTACAATTTGGCAGGTTCTGTTCTTTACTCAAGGATGCTGAAAATTTGCAATATTTGCATAGTATTTCATACCCTACGTACATACGTATATTATATTTAGTGTGCGAATCATCGAATGAATTTTAATGCTAGAAGAAAAGGAGCTCAAGAAGAAAGGCTCCATCCACACGCTTGACTCTGTGTATATGCTCGAACAGGAAAATGCAATCAAAGCTCACTTCAAGCTGAAAATCACCACTCTGAATCCGATCCGACAGCCAGCTATCATCATCATTCCGTGTCTCGCATCAGTATCAGCATATTCTGACTGCACATTTGCTGGCTCACTTGCACCCGATCATACAGCATTTCATCTCAGTAACAAGGAGCCGACTCTCACGTTTTCCTTTCCCTGTCTACACATACTTTCACCATCCAAGTCCAAATCCGAGAGAGCGGAACTCATGATTGAAAGGGAAATTGGAAGCTTGTATTGTCTGCAGTATTATATAGGTCGTCCTCCTCTCTCTCTCTCTCTCTCTCAGACTTTCAATGGTGAAGAAATCAATCAGTGAGTCAAGAAGAGTGGCACGGCACGCCAAGCTTATTTTGCACAAGTGAAATCATCATCAAAGAGTTGCGTTGTGTCACGCCTGACTAGATGAGTATCGAAACGTGAATAACAAACAACTAATATTATATACACGCAATTGGCCCTGTATCGTGTGGATATTTGTTCAACTACAACCGCGACAAGTCACACTCGATATTCATTTACGAGATGCTATTCGACATAAAGATGTACGTTTCATATGAATAGTTTACATACGTAATTGTTTGCTACGACACGGATGAAATTCATTTGGGTGGAAAAGAGATTTTTTTTTATTATTTTCACACGTTTTGTTTGAAATAGGGGGGAACTGATTCGGAGAAATGCATACTCATGGATGGATGGATGAATAATAAGTGTTTTTGCTCTGTCAGTCTTTACTTTATCAAGAACAACTTCCATTTTCCATTTCAGGGAATGAAGTGAAAGTGAAATATATTTAGTGTAGTCGAGTGACAGTCGTGTACTTGAGTTAGTTATTAGAGGAGGGCCGACCCTACTTTGTCTCTGGGAGGAGGAGGAGGACGACTACGTAGGAGGGGTAGATACATAGTCGTAGATTTTGTTATGTTGGGTGTTGCAATAAAGTGAAAGTCATTCGAGTGAGGGTTGAACATGTTGAGTTTTGGGAATAACAACTGTTGTTTGATAGTTTGACTTGTCAGTGAGCCAGGTTTGGTTAGTTTACTGGTTCCCCATGATACCGACTGACTGCCACCCAAGCCAAAACATGAGCCATTAACATGAACCTGTCTTCATCATCATCTCCATTGTCCAGAACATTTTCTATATTACATTATCTGTGAGGCCAGGATGCCGCCTGTTGTTTGTTATCATTTGTTTTTGACAACTTTCACTCTCTTTCTCTTTCTTCCACCTTCGCCCCATTTGCATTTCCTTTGTTCTCCCGAGCTACTTGGAGCTGATGAAATTCGCTGCTGCTGTCCCTCTTTTGTACTTGGCGAAAGAGAGAGAAAGAGGCTCGTTTTGTTCATTTATACGGTTGGAGGATTGAATGAAATGGATGCGTGTCGTGGACTATGTCCTCCCGTGTATATGGCGAGGCAAGGCTCCATACATATGGATGGTAATGGGGTTTGGTTTGGTTGGTGGGGTTTAGTTATATTGCTGTTCATCCCATTGTGCTGGTTTTCTAATCTGACTGACAATGAGTGGGCAGGAAGGACGGAAGGAAGAGTTTGCCTTGGTGGTGTTTTTCTCTCTCTTCTATATAACTTGTCGTAATTTGTTGGAGAAGGTGCCAAATGAAAGCTTTGGGATTTCGGATGTTGAATAAGTTGGTGGCGGTGGTGGTGGGGAGTTAAGTGGTAAATTGACTTTCGCTTAACGGGTCACACAAGAAAAAAGTCCATTTCTAATTCTTTTCTCTCTTCCTCCGAGTGATTTTCGTGATCTCCAAGTTTCTAGATCGAGACGAATTAAACCACTACTTTATTTCTTTCTTTCTTTCCTTCTTATTCCTACTTTCTCTTGCCCTACATTTTGCTTGCTTGCTTTCTCTCTCCTTTTCAATCTCCATTTAAGTCTAGCTGGTTGAGATCCTTTGTGCGTGTGTATCATTTGGAAACAAACGCTTTTATCTAAACCCGAGCTTAAAAGAGGGAAAAGAAAGTGAGAGATTGGATTTAGGAAAGAACGATTTTTGTTGTGTTTCTCGTTTTGTTGCATCAATAATATTCCTTTCAACTGGTTTTCTCGCTTTCTCGGTTGGTTGGTCGCTCCTCATCTTGAACTAACAAGTTTTTACTACTACTACGACTACTGTTTACCTTAGTACTTAGTTGTCGAGAAGAAGCAACAAAAGATTTTAATTCCAATTCCAAGAAAGAATTTACGTATCAAGAAAGATTCTGGCTCATGTCGATCCTTGAATAAAAAGAGATGGATACATGGATAAACCCTTGGCCTCGTTTTTCGTCCACCTTGACGATTCTCTGACGCGACGACGGGAACAAGTTTAGTTAAAGATGAAGCAAATCTCCCTGTCCTTGTCTCATCCTTGTCGGAAAAAAAGAGGCAGCAATAATAAATAACAACAATCCAAAATAAAGGGAGAAATTTTTTTAATAAGCGACGACGATAGAGGATTTCCCTTTGCAAATTTTCAGAACGTCGAAACGAAAAGAAACGCTATAAAGCTTTGATGATACCTTAAAAAAGGAATGTTACAAGGCTATCGGTATTGCCGGATTCTAAGCTACACCGTCGTCGTCGTAGTTGTCGTTAGGATTTTATGCGTTGACTTTGTGGTGTTCGTTGCAAGAAAGGAGTAGAAGAGTCTGGACGGAACAGATTGTGTAGTTGGGTGGATAGGATCAGAGAAGCAAAGTCAGCTCTGCAGCAGCAGCAGAGGTGCAAAAGACGGAGAAAGTGAGCAAGAGGGAAAAAGGAATATTAGAATTAGATTCATTTTATTTGCTGAGCCGAGTTTGGCCGGGGTCTAGGTATTCCTCTGAAGGAATGTAATCGATTCTGAGAGGTAATAGGTTGGTTGGTTTGAGGTGTTGACTTTTAGATCAGCGATGGCCATGCTGCACACACGGTAAATATAATCTTTCCCTACATCAACTTTTCTGAATCATTCCTCTTCCAAGAATCGTGCGATGGAATTCGCTCTTCTGTCTTTTCTTCTGTCTTTTCTACATAAATATGAAGCATCATGCTTCTGTCACGGCTCTTCATTGCCGTTATAATTCAAGGATAAAGAAAAAGTAGAGAAATCGGATGAGTTTCGATGCTGTTAGTTGAGTATTAAATTCCCAGGAAGCCGTTTAACTCGAGTAAACTATGAGATGGATGGCTGGCTGGAAGAGGGTAAATTTTGTGGGGAAAGATTGTTGTTGGTTCGTGGTGGTGGTGGATGAATGTCTTATGCTTCAGTGCGCATTGGGAAAGCTATGATGAAAATGAAGACGAGAAAGAAGATGAGCATCCCACCCATCTTGTTATGCACCACTTCTAACTTCCACCACCACCACTGCTTCATGTCTCTCTTTGAGAAAGAAGAAGGAATTGAAGATATTATTTTGTTGAACACTTTATGATATTATGATATATGCGTCCTCTTCTTTCTCTCCCTGGCTTTTCGGTGTTCTTTCTTCTTCTTCACTCTTTTTTTTATATTTTACTCTCATCTTTTGTCTATGCCAACATTACTTCTTGCATACGAATGGACGGTAAACACGAATATTTTAGCACGGCGACCCATCCACAGACAGTAGCAGCTTTCTTTGTGTGCAGAATAATAGTGGTGGTTGGCTGGCTGGCTGGCCGGGTGGGTAAGGGCGTCAGGTGGAAGTGTTGGTATGAAGAATGTTTCACCTGTGCACCAACTTAAATAAGGATTACACTCAAATTGCTACTCTTGTATAAAGAGTCCTTCCGTTCCGTGTCTAGATCTTTCCTGTGAAGAGAGCAGGGAGAAAGGCGTTCCAATGGATTTAACTCGAGTGCTTTGCCAGTTAGTTCTTCGCCTGCATAACCATTCAATATGGTGGAAATGTAATCAGTATATTCTTTTGGTTAGATGGATGGGTGTATAAATGGGAGTTGAGAAAAAGGCCAAAGGTTTTCTTCCCCCTTTGAAAGATTGGATGAAGATGAACAAGTATTTTGTTTTGATGAAATGCAGATGATGTTCCTTTATATTATTCCATCAGAAAGGAAAAGGAGGAGGAGGTCAGCAGGTTGTGTGTCGTTTCGGTTTGTCCTATATCTATCGCTTACTCGTTTTTCTGTGCTGCAAAAAAAGTTCGCTTTATTTCTTCCCCCTCCTGCTTTCTCCACTTTTTCCCACTTTGTCTGTCTGCTTCTTGAGCTCTTCTCCCTCTCGTCCCGTGCCACTTTTTAAGCTGTGGCCATTTGTTATTTGATGGGGAAAGGAGACTAAGCCGGAGAAATAATTTGCTCATGTCCTTCCTCTCATGTTATTTATGTCATGTTCGGATCGGAATGTAATTCTGAAGGATTTACTTGTTTATCTCGACAGGGTCTGCTTCAAGCACATGACGTAGCGGTGCACGAAGTTTATGGTGAGGATGCCGTCAGAGTCACCCCACCCGCCCTGTACCCTTACCTTAACGGGGTTAGCGAAGATCAAGAAAGTGATTTGGAACAGCAAGCTCAAGTGACGAGGGTACGTCTCGTCCAATTCCAAAAGAACTCGGATGGTAAGTGGCATTTGAAAGTGTATTTGAATACAGAGAAGAATTTATTTACATAATAAGTACAAAAAACATGATGGCAAATCGTATTTGCAGAGCCGATGGGAATCACTTTACGACTGACTGAAGATGGACGGTGAGTAGACATGTGCATAAAAAACGACGATTGCAGGTTGATTAGACTTTATGGAAAGGTTACAAATTGTACGGGTTACTACATGCGAAAACATGATCAAATTTGGGCCAATTTTTGCATGCACAATTTCGAGGGTCACTGCAAAAAATGGCCCCCAAGATTGGCCTCAAACTCAGACTAGTTTGTCGGAAGACTTGAGAATACATCAAAAAAATAACCTAAGGCGTTATAATAATCGCCCAATTTGTTCATAATGTCTGATCAGCTACTCACCTCTGTAAAGAGCTTAAATTCGAACGTGCTAATTATGCCGTCCTGTCTTTGCAGTGTTCTCGTCGCGAGGATACTTCACGGTGGAATGATTCATCGCCAAGCCACGGTAAGTAATAGTGGAGATCGGAAAAATAAGTGACTAGTGTTTGATGTCATGTTGAATGTTTCATGTCATGATATTTCCAGCTCCATGTTGGAGATGAGATTAGAGAAATTAATGGATGTCCAGTGTACAATCAAACTGTTGATCAGTTGCAGACTATGCTGGTACGTACTCTATTTATTTTGTGACAAGACTTTATAGTTCCTTTTAAGATAAAAGACGTGAGGACGTTTTTATCTGAACCTGTTGTGCAATCGATTGATGTCGTTAATGGACTTGAGTTAATGGACTAGTTCAGTAGTGGGTTCTTCCAGCGAGATATTTACTGCTCCTACTAAGCGATCACTAAGCCCTTCCCCACTTAAAGTATTTGATGTCCTTTTTTTCTCGGATGGACCTTGGAGACTGTGGTACTCGAGAATTTGGAATTGATCTTTGTTCATTCGTATGTATTTCAGAGAGACGCCCGTGGATCGGTCACTTTCAAAATAGTTCCGGTATGTAAAGAAATATTTTTCTCTACAAGGAATTTTCTTTTTACTTACTTGTGTTTAATTGCATTTCAATTACAGTCGTACAGGAGTAATCCACCGCCATGTGAGGTAAGACAATGGAAATAATTTATTTGTTACATTATTTGCGCGTACACTTTCACTGCCATCGTAAATTCTGGTCAGAGACGTGCACTCTTTCTTCGTACATCGCCATAAATTATGGACACGGCTTAAACTTACTCATGAAGAAGAAGTATTTTGAAGTTTTGAAATTCGTTTCGTAAACAATGTTCAAAAATATGTCTCTCAAACATATGAACCCCAGCCAAGTGTCGAGAAAAATGCAATTTAACCCATCCTAATTTAGAGAAAGCATAGCATTAACTCTCAAGTTATTAATGTGTGGATGGAAAGCTAGTGTCATATTTATATAAAGAAAAAAACTCATTTCTTATGTGCATTAATTTCATAGCTATTCCGGACTCGTAACGTCCCAACTTCATCCGTGGTACAAACGGAATAGAATTTAGTGATCCCTATCATTTCCACTTTTTAATAATAATTGCAAATTACTTAATTTCAGTTATTCCGCCGAAACCCCGAACCAGTTTTAGTAAGTTGATAATAAAAAAAACTATCACAAACTCCAGTGAACCTCTCGCTCGATGTGCTTGTGAATGAAGACTGGAATGTAGAATGTCAATTTGCATATATACAGCAATTTTTACAGCACTTATTGTGTGTCATATCATATCTGTATAATATTACTTTGCTAATCATAATATCTTATATTGCTATACAACATACCAACCATTGTGTCACCAACACCTTAGTTTGCTTTTGCAGCACGTACCGTAAACCGTATTAACCAGTATGCATACATTCAGTATGTACATATTTTATGTACGCGTCCACTCACTCCTACAGCAACCCTCGCATACTTTCCCCATATCATTTTACTGCGGAGAAAGTAATCAAATATCAGTTTTTATCCATTGACATCTCTAATAAAATGATGCATGATTATTTGATGATCCCACAACAGTTACCCATGTATGAACCTCGTGTATGTGTATCTACCAGACACACATGCATAAAGTACACGTATTTTTTATTTCACTCCCACACGCCTTCTCCGCCTACACAGTTATTAAAACCGGAGTGGAACTCATTGAATCTGCATTCAAATCGTATTTTTGTCCGATACATAAAAATGTTGATGAAATAAGAACCCCCCCCCCCCTTCACACACTTTACAATCATTTATTGGAGGGAAGACCAACCATAGATTCAAAGAGTCCGACTCCGGTTTAATACAGGCTTGGATGTTTATCGATAGTTTGAATCATAACGACACCACATTTTCGATTAGTTTGAATATGTGTATGTAGTAGAAAGCATTTTTGTCACATGTATGAATAGGATTTAAGTTTTGAGTATGGTTGAGAAAATATTAATTTGATTCGTGTTGTATCCAGATTTTTGTGCGAGCCCTGTTCGACTACGACCCATTGGATGATGGTAAGGTTTATTACTTTGCAAGCTTACATAGTTAGAGCTCCTGAAACTTATTGTTTTGTCCACTTTTAGACCTGATCCCTTGTGCACAAGCTGGAATTTCTTTCAAAATTGGAGACATATTGCAAGTTATTTCCAAGGATGGTGAGTAACACTGCAACCAATATTTTAATTAGGGTTGTTCATGGTTATGTGATGTTTTGCGTGCCCTCTGTTAGACCCCCACTGGTGGCAAGCGAGATTGGACACGCCAGGTACGTATGTGGTCATTGTTGTGAAATATAATGTTGAAAATGTGGATCTTTGAATAATCATAATGATAAAATCATAGTCATGACACTTTTAGCCACATCGGCCTCATCGACATCCTCCACATCTTCAGGTGCTTCGCTTGGTCACACGGCTGGGCTAATACCTTCACCTGAGTTGCAGGAGAAAAGAACAATTCAAGCTGCCAGCGGAAAATCGGGTGGTGGTGGAACACTTGGAAAAAATAAGCATTCTAGTAATAACGGGGTAAACAGTTTATTAAATTTCGACCCCAGTGGAAGCAACGGTGATGATAAAATTAGGTAAGAGTTTGATTGTTAAATATTATTGCTAAATTCAGTTGTTAAACTTATTTCATTAATTAAATAGTTGCAGCCTTTTCGGGAAAAAGAAAAAGCAAGATAAGAAGGATAAGTATTCTGCCAAGCACAATGCGATTTTCGATTCGCTCGAGTTAAGGTATTGAAAACAAATATTATTCAAATTCTATACCCAAAATCATATAAAGTATTTATTAACGTTAATTTTTATTTCAGCACGTACGAAGAAGTAGTTCGCCTACCATGTAAGATTTCATCATGCCCAATTATTTGTAATGAGACACTTTATTACACGAATTATATGCATACATGCGAGTACAGATATTGCTGAGTTGACGAGAGAGAAAGTTTTGAATATTATTAGTATTATTATTAGTATTATCATATTATCAGGAATCCTTTCCTTTCGTGTCCGTTTTATTCACACCTCAGCGAATCCTCCATCCAACTATCTAAATCGCAATTTATGAGGAGAAAACTTTTTAATTTTATGCTCATATGATAGTTGGGTAATGTTATTTCTTTTTGGTTTATTACAGCCTTTCGTAGAAAAAGTTTGGTACTACTCGGGGTAAGTATAACCATCCAACTTTAACTTTTGAACCAAGCCCTGGAAAATATGTGGACTATTCGCAAATTAAATGATGTCTTTTTTAGGCACATGGAGTGGGAAGAAGACACATCAAAAATTGTCTGATTTCTCGACATCCCGACTTATACGCGTACCCAATTCCTCACACGACGAGACCCCCGAGACCAGATGAGGAGGATGGGAGAAACTACTATTTTGTAACTCATCAGAAAATGATGAATGATATTGCAGCTAATGAGTACCTTGAGGTAATGACGATTTCCATAAGTTGAGAATCAATTTTATCCAATTACCAAAAAGTCGCCCATTTCTTTATGATATAGTTTATTGCTCAATAATGTCTTATTAACTATCTATTTTTATTTCACAGTATGGCACACATGATGAAGCAATGTATGGCACAAAATTAGCGACGATTCGACGGATTCACTCTGAAGGTATGTTGGCTAATTTCTATTACTTCTACTTACTAATTTTCGCTCTGAATGATCATACGAAATGATTTCTTTAATTTACATTTTTATTGCAGGACTGATAGCTATATTAGATGTTGAACCTCAGGCACTGAAAATGTATGTTATTACACAACTCTAATTTATGGCTAGGATTTAGATTCGACTAAAAAATAAGCCTTATTCTTATTGTATAATTATTTTCAGTCTGCGCTGCTCCGAATTTGCTCCCTTTGTCGTCTTTATTGGTAAGTTTTCGGTCCCAAATATACAGATTGCGACATGAGTGGGAAAGTAGAGAAAGTCTTTAATTTCGTATTTTTTCAACTTAGCTGCCCCTGCGCTCAATACTGTTGCAGATGTAAGTTTTAAACATTTCTAAGCATGTTGAATGCCAGTGAGAACTTGTGATGCAAATCGCACTGCTCAAACAAATATGTTGAAATGCAGAGAGATCATTACAACAAACACTTTAATTTACTTCATGTATTTTACCACTGTATTTTTTCAATGTTTTCAGTTTGATGGAAGTTTAGAACGATTGGTGAGAGAGTCAGAGATGCTGCGAAAAGCCTACGGCCATTTGTTTGACATGGTCATCGTGAATAATGACATTGAAGAAACTATTTCAATTTTGGAAACCACAATGGAGAAAATTCACACTCAAGCGTGAGTAGCACAATCTTTGATTATCAATACATGTACATATTATTAAAGGGTGGAATTTAATTGAATGAATTGTGGTTTTTAGACAATGGGTACCTGTTTCTTGGGTATATTGACCAAATGTGCTTCTGAGAGAATGATAATCCACCAAGCCAATAGGAATGCCACGACAATGACGTTTAATTTGTTTCATCGCTTCGGATTTCATCAATTATTGTGGTTGAAAAAAATTTCCTTGATAGTCTTCTCATCTCATCACCACTCCTCCTGGTCCTCCTGACTCTACTTATATATGTACACACATTATCCATATGTACAACCTCCACTCCACCTCATCACAAACCCTTCTTGTTACCTCTCCCACCCGGCGTATGTGTAAAGAAATTTCAAATATGAAAACCATTTTTCACATGCGAAATTTCGTCTTTATTGACACGAGACCAGGGTTGTCGTTCGATTTTCTTACAGAATGAGTTTTTAATACAAAAAATCTCCGTTTAGACAAGAATTGGAAAATTTTAAAGCGTAGAGTGTAGAATGGCTGATCACGAATCGAGCATATTCGACTTATTTGAATACTTAGTATTTGAAGCAGCAACAGCGTGATGAACCATATTTAACGTACTACTTGTTAAAACTATATAGTAATTCTACCATTTCTATTGCAATTACACAATTAACTACTAACTACTACTATTACACTTTGACAATTAACGTATTAACAGAGTTAACATTTACTACTTACATCGCAGTTACAAATTCAGAAAATTATATATTTGATGCCATGCTGTTAGAAATTGGATAAATCATTATTGAAATGAGTTATTCAAGAAGCAGAAAGAAGTAAGAAGTTTGACTTAACCAACAACACCAAAAAATTAAAAGGACGGGTCATTTTATATCCAATTTAATATACTATAATATCCTCCAGTAGCTGTTTACATATAACCCTGAACTCTGAAGAAGGAAGGAACTCTTATTCGGTGACTCTCCTCCATCATTCCATGAGATCTACACAAAGAAAAAAACTACATTTTTATCTTTTATTTTTTGATGGTGTCAGTCAGAGGTACGTAGGTGTTGTTTGTTTAAAATGTGGCGATTGATTATAATAACGTTTAAACTTCATGCTCAACATAAGTCATTATATATTAGTTTAATTAAGAAGAAGAAGGGAAATGGTGACCTATAAGGATTAAACGAAAAAGATTAATAGGCAAATAATCGAAACATTTTGACCTACTAATTAAAAAACGAACATGCTGCAACAATAATTAATATCAATAGTCTCATACTCGCATGAGTGTCTATTGAAATATGTTTTGACATTTTTGACATAGCCTACACAACATATAATTATGTAATAACAAATTATACAAATACATACTTCAACCTAAATTAAAATGACATGATTGGTTAAAAAACTTAGTTAATTATACACTTTTACTATACCCCTCTCTTACTCGTTGTTACTTTATTGAAAAAAACTCTAAAAAACCAAATACCTAAGTCGGAAAAAATTATGTAATCTTACAAAAAACATTGATTCCACTACCAACTATGCCACACCTCCATTCCTGAAATTCCGTGAAATCATAATGTACAACATCTGAAATGAAATGAGATGCACAATTTGAGCTCTATAAATCTACGTTCTGTTAAAATATTCCTTTTTAATATTCTTTGATGTAAATGTACATTAATTTCTATGAAATTTTGTTTGCTAATTTCAATCTTAATTAAAGTTGCAGACGTGTTTCCCTTTTATCAACAAAATGAAACACCACCTTCCATCAAGTTTTGAATATCGAATGCGTAGTAAGTTGCTTAATCAAGTCCAAAGATTACTTTAATGATAATGTGTATGCCTTATAATAGTGAAGCTAGTCGATAATTTGATTCAATTTGGAGTGGCAATTTTTATTATATTTATAGTGACTGATGCAAATTATATGTTCCTAATGAAGGTCATTATTTTCATTGTCATTATAGCTGATTTAATACATGTTTGCAATCAAAATATTTTATACATGTTGTTATATCTTTATGTTGCCCATAACTTAGCAAATCCACAGTATTACGTACACTTAATTTTTAGAAAAGCCCAAGAAAACTACCAATACCAAAATGCAAAAGTGAAACAAATGGCTATATTAGTTAAGTTGGATTATTTTAGTTAATATACTTATTTAAAAGTTTGGTTTTAGCTAAATTCACTAATTTGCCGAAAAGGATGCCGAGAAAGGAGTGTTAGTGTATAATGTAATAACTAATTATACTTTTCCGTTTCATGGAACCGATGAATTTACTCAATTCAAAATAAAACGAATAACAAAAACCAAAACTTGTGGTGGTGGAAGAAAGAAAACATAGTAATAATAAACTAACTCTAGATTTAAGCATTATTGTAATCTAAAGTCTACTCTGTATATGATGTGTCTGTATAAGAGACAAAACTGGTAAAGTTATTATATGAAGCACATTTTAAGAGAGATTTTGAAATTACTGCAATTAATATTACAATATGGAGACTCAATAAACAGGAAATCTTTTTTGTAGATGCTAAAAATGACGATCATGATATGTGTACTTGCTATGCATTTATTAAGGTGGTCTCACATTCGGTTAACAAAGTTCCTTAGTACTGATAATTTGGTGTTGTTGCTCCTTGAAAATGTCAAATGTTTACATAGCGTCCCTCCCAATAGGATCAAGTCCCCTTCTTTTTCTTCTTCCAGGTGAATTTCCGGAATTTTAACATATCTGTGAGTCCGTGGCAGACAAAGTACGAGTTTAATACTGCAGTTGGATCCAATACGTCGGAACATTTTCGTTTCAGGGCTAAAATAATGCATGATAAAAATTAGAGGGATGAAGGGCAGATCATTTAATTAAACACTCTGGCTTTCATCTTACGCTTCTTTCGTCGTTTAATGGGACAACGGGGTTGCTTCTTCTTCCGTTTCCCCTTCTTTTTCTTTTTGGGTGGGGGAGGCATGATGAAGACGAGTTGGTCCGGTTTTTATGCACCCTCGCCAAAAATGCAGTTTTTTATAAAGCCATCTTCAAATCATGAATTGTTTAGTGACCAGACTGTTCGCCTGACAACGGTAGGGGCCAATATTGCTTGACAACCACGATTGCTTGACATTTAGTATCTAGGTAACTCTTGGCTCTTTTAACGGTTGCGACAAATGGTGGAGTTACAAATAAAATAATTATTTTTTTAATCGTTGGTACACGTCCCCTGGGCCTGTGTACCAACGACTTTGACCTTTAATAACTTTTGAAAGGGCAGACATAGAGACTTGATTCTTAAAGATGAAATCATCTTAATTTTTAGCTTGATTTTTTAAGCAAAAAATCTCGAGGCTACTATTTCGAGAATTAAATTTGAAATCTGCAGCGTGCAGCCTTTATTTAGCCCGAGTCAGGGTCAGTGTCAGCTTCTAAATTTTAGTCAGACGACCTGCACCAACTACTATTCGTAATCGGCAAAAATGTTCCCATAATCCAGCATGCAAAATTTCAGCTCATTGACCAATTTTAAAACCAATACGGGTCTCAGTCTTCTGAGACTTTTCTGGGCTGGGCCCACAAAAATATTCATTTTCATATTCTTTAGTCTGATGTGCCCTTACCTATGATACAGAATTTCATTTTTATTCTACCAATATAAAAAGCAATGTGGGTCACCTTGTTAAATCTCTGTGGAAAAAATCTTAATATTTACTTCATATTTTTCAATCTGGTCTACCCCCGCGGGGTCATGCCAAATTTCAGTCTTCTACGAGTGTCTGGAGCGAATTTCATCTTTTTAATACAATTTTTAAAAATCGATATGGGTCACCCCCTTAAAGGTCCCTCCACATATTAATTCATATTTTTTCATCAGGGACCATTAGCAATCTCTGCACTAATTTCAGCTCGATTGGATAATTTTCAACAATCGGTATGGTATCGGGTCCCTCCAGTCGAAAATTTTCCCAATTTAAATTCATATTCTTCAATTAGACACCATTAGCAATCTCAATGCCAATTTTCAGATTTTGAAATACTCCACCCACCCAGATGACCACCACCGGTCAACCACTTAATCGATTTCACCCATCTTCAAATTTAACTCCTCATTTGCCACATACTACACATACCAAATTTAAAGTCGCTAGGACGAGTTTAACGAAAGTTATCGTAAAATGATCGAACGGACAGACGGACGGACATGACGGTTCCATAAGCACTTGGACTGAAAATTACATTTCCAACTGTAACCAATGACATTTTCAACAATTTTTAGTTTTCTAAAAATGAAAATTTATTTTGTAACTCGGCCATTTGTCGTAACCTTATAGATTGATAAAGTGTCAAATAATCTTGCTTGACAACTTTACATTTCTAACCATGTTGCGACAAGTTATTACAGTGCTAAGATTCTTATTGTCAAGCAACCGTGGACTTTCCTTGGCCTTATTAAGTGGTTTCAGTATTTTCTGATTTTATTCATTCTGAAATGCATATCACACAAAATTACATTACTCACTGTCGCTATAAATAAATATTCGAAATTGAAATATATCAACAATAGTATCTGCATGCATACATAATTTCTTAATCAACGTTAAAGTTAGCTCACGCAACACATAAATAAAACATTCGTTAAAACAATTCATTTTTTCTTCTTAGAACTGGTAGGAGGAATTTCTGACGTTGTGGGTGGTTTTTGTTTTCCCCTTTTATCGTGGAATAAATGCTTGAATTTTGGAATTAGATCCATAAACAAATCTTCTAAACAAATTTCCGAGTATGCGGACTGATTTAATTGATTTTGGACTAATGTTGAAAGTTTCTCGAATTGTTTCTCTGCGAATGCCATCTCAGGATTTAATTTTGCTGGAATTATAAAAAATACATTTGAATAACTACGTCATCAAGACGTTGATGACGCAATGTCGTACATGATAATATTACTTACATCTTTCGACCGTGGGCAAAGCCTCTTTGTGCTTTTTTACATCAAAGACGTACAGCAAGTAGTTCAATTGTTTATACAGATCTGCTTCTGTATACTCCCGGAACATAACTCCTTGTTTGCATGGACAGACCATGTAACCTCGTTCTAGGTGCAGATTTACTCCTCGTACTCGGTTCGGACATGCAGGATCTTCACATACGAACCAACCCTGCATAAATTCCAATAAAAAAGATTTATGTGTCTGGAAAGACAACAATTTACAGATAATCCTTCTCCCCTATAAACCCACCTGATAATATTTCTCAATAAACTTTCGCATAAATAAGACCAAGCTGTTGAGTACGTGGGGCATATAAGAAATTGGGGAAATGGAGGAGCATCCCGGGCATATCTTATTGAGACTGGATATCCATTTGTTCTACAGATTCGTACAAGACATAAAAATATTAATAAAATGTACTCACTTCTATGCAATTAAATAATTTATTTATATGATTGGCTTACTTGTATTTCAACAAACGGAGCTTCGATAACGATTTCATGACGGCACGAATCCTTAACACATGGAAATTTAAACCGAGCACAATCTCGATATTTTTCTGCTTCGGTTATTTCGCCAAGTCCAATGTCATCCTGGCTGCGGTCTACAACATGCCTTCTCTTGTAGGACGAGGGGTCCATTCCTAGTGATTCTGCAATACGAGCTGCATCCAGACCAGGAATCGGCTCGCAAATACGAGAAACAACAGGATGCAGTTGTTGTGCTAAATAATATTTTGCGTCAGGTTCCAATGCAGTTATTTCCTGCTTAATGGATGCGGTACCGCCGTTTTCATTATTATTTTCAACTTTCGCTACTTCGACTTTCGGTGGCGCTTTACTTTCCAATAACTCTACAGGATGATGAGCAATGCCATCGGTGCAGAATACATAGGGAACAGTGTCTCCATTCTTGAACTTTTTGGGTAGCTTTCCAGTTTGATTTAAACGTTTGGCAACGGTGACATGATATAATCCTTGACGGTCTTTATAATCTTCTGGGTTTTTAGCTAATTGTTTTGTGATGAGCAGGTCTTTCAAGGGAACATGTCCGGCTTTTAGTTCTTCTGCTTTATCATTCAAAATCTTTACAATTTTAAAAATTTTATCGTCCAATGCTTGTTCAGTCATTATTTCATCTAAAATTGCACGAGCAGTTACTGCTGCCACTGGAGCCCAATCACGACGAACAATATCCAAACCTTTCAATTCCATCGCTGTTTCAACTTGTCCATTCTTTTTAACGCTGTATGTAAGTGCAGCGTATTTCTTCTTTTTCAGGAGTAATAAAAATCTGAACACGCCGTCAATTTCCAGCTCGAGAAGTTTATACATGCGGTTGATTTCTGTCCTAATTTTGTTTCCAATTTTATACACTGCTTCAATTTCTTGAGTATTTGTGTTGATCATCAACGAGTCGGTATCTCCATAAATGACTTCAAACCCTAGTGCTTCAACAGCAAGTTTCGTCTTCATTAAAATCTCCCGTCCTTTTCCTAAAGAACGAAAAATAAATAATAAAATATATACAAATTTAAATGTATAAAGATTAGTTAATCTAATTAATGAATCATTTTCTGTCCAATTTGTGCGCTCTCTATATTGTTACCTGTAATAAGAGCAGCAAGGTTTTGGGCATAGAATCTCGAATGTCCAAATCCTAGACACCCATACATGGAATTTGCAGTGAGTTTCAAAGCTTTCTGTCGAATGTCATACTGGCGTTTCAAGTCGTGGGAGACATTTTCCGCTTGCATCAATTTCTTTACTTCTCTTCGACTTTCGACAAGTTTTCTAATCTCCTCGGGAAGAATACCCCTTTCCCTATAGTCCGTGTGATCTTCTGTAGTGGTTGTCGTAAAACAAATATTAAATTCTTGGATAATCGATGGATACAGGGAAAGGAAGTCCATGAGAACGATGAAATTGTCGTAGAATCCTTTCTTTGGCTCTAAGACCAAGCCTCCGACGTAAGCAGGACCATTTGATTTTCCGCTATTATTTTTGTCCTCTCCACCAGCTCCTCCTTCTTCGTCATCCTCGCGCTTAAATTTCTTTTTGTATTGCTTATCAGGAACAATGTAATCCTTGTTGTAAAAAGCGTGCAATAAAAGAAACTCATTTCTTTCCGAACGACCTCCCATCAACGTACGGGCCAAGGTGTTACCTATAACAAGCAATCAGTGTTTTTATAAACTTTATCAATTTTTACAAGTTGAAAATAGAGATGAGACTACATTTATCAACTTGAGCAAACGTACCAGCAATTGTTGTTATTTGAAGGGCGAGTGGCATTACTTGAAGTTCGTTCATTAGCCTCAGATTCAAAATGCTTAAAGACATTCCCCATGCTGCAAGATGTTGAATTCCATCAGACGATTCGAAAAGACTACGCAACTCTGTCCCAGTGTATGCAGTGATTTGATCTTCATTCAGACCAAGAACTTGTGAAGCAAGACTGGCTAAGTCGTACGATCGGGCTCTTATTAGTTCCTTCGCTGATATCTGTACGTCGCAAACCAATCTTCCAGCCACGGCTGATCTGGAGTCGGGCAATTTTCCACCCTGGCAATAATATCAAAGAAATATAGTGTTAGTTACATACTCCAAAAACAAAGTAGTTATTTTTACTACCTTTTGAGGCTGCGAGGATCGCTTCAAACGCCCAATACGTGACCAATGAGGAACCTTGTGATTCCATAGTTGGAGAAGAAGCAAGTCCAAATTCAAATCGTGGCCGACATAAATATCTGGATCAAATTGTGACAGTTTAGCTAGCAGGCATGCCAACATGCTTCGCTCAGAATCCATTTTGGTTGTGAATTTTGAAAGTACTCGATCCACGTCAAATGGCCATATTTCTCCTGGAGGTCTATTTAGCACTGAAAACCATAAAAGTTTAAATAGTTATAAAATGCAGTATTGCCATTAAGGAGATAACTATTAGATGATTTCACTTACAACAAAATGATTCATGGAATAAACCTTCAGTTGTAAGAAAAGATTGCATTTTAAACACTCGATTTACAACCACAGACGCAGAAATGATGCAATCCTTCTTTGTTTTGGGGTCGTTAATTGAACTCATGTTTATCGATGCGACCACAAATGGTGGGATTTCCATTGAGTCTTTCTGAGGATGAATTTTAACTCCTCCAACGTCACAATTAAACTGTAATATCCAATCAAGAAATTAGACATAACTTGCATTTCGCATACGCTTGAAAACTCATTATCTAAAAGTGTGTTTAGTCTGTAAATAGTGGATATGTACCTCCATTTTGCACCATGACTGTTGCTGTCCTAATTCTACTTTGATAGGGCTTACAATCTGTAACCAACAAGGGCCTTTCAGCTTATTCTTCAACAAAAAGTTCTCCAGCATTGAAGATCGTGTTCCAAATGCACGAGAAAATGTATTTCCTTGAAAGTCCTCTGGCAATGCAGGCAACGTGCCCTGGAAAACAGATTAAACGAATTAGAAAACCAATTAATACAATTTTTACAAATCACAGGGTAATGGCACTAACGGGATAAAAAATTTCCATGTATTCTGAAACTTTAGGCACATTTTCTTCACTGAAGCAGTATTTTTTCTCTACTGTTCGTGCTCTAAACTGGAGTATGTGTAATTTTTTAAAACGTTCTTCGATCTCAGCAGACACATCACGAAATGTGACGTCTTTCTCAGGGTCATCTCGCATCTATTAATAAAGTATTATTAAATAGTAGTCAGTTAACGATACGCATTAGGCTTGCATTAATAACTTATAATATATACCTCTGAACGAGGAAGTATGTACACACAACGTTGGACATTTTGAATTGCTATGCAGCAACTGACAAATCCTCCCACTGCTCCTTCTTGGCTGACTTTTCCAAATAAATACAAGACACCAGGATTTCTGGGCTCTTCGTAAATGTCAAACCAATAAAAGTTTAGGACCTGCAGGAAAATTAAGTATATTTTGTCACTCATTTAATGATGGTAATATAAACGGGATTAATGCAGTTTATTTATTTACCTGCTTATTTCCCGTTTCATCTATAGTCATGCATTCCACATTTGATGACTCGATTTGGCTAGTGGTTGTTGTTGTAGATGCTTTTGCATTTTCAATTATGTCATGCATTGTCGTGGTCAAACTGTGCTTGGGTTTTTCCTCTTTTTCTGCGGGTTCTACTTTAACAATGTCATTATCTCGGAAACTGGTGGTCGCAACGGAAGTTTCCTCAACGTCTTCTTTTTCAATTTTTACTTTGACTGCGTCTAACGAAGGCTCAGTCGCTTCAAATCCATCAGTTTCCATTTGTGTCCGATAAGAATACTCTGTAATCTCCTGGTATCCGCTTGGTTCTGACTTTTTGTTTTTGGAGAATTTCTCAAAAGAACTAGCAGGTTTCGCCCTCTTTTCTACATGTTGTAAAATATCTTCGAGGGAATGATTCGCCTCGGAGGATGAGAAAGAAGTTTCAGGGTCAGTCCCATCTCGCCTCCGTTTCATGGGCATGTTTGTTAAGACGGATAACAATTTGACTCCCTGCCTCTCATCTGGTTTCACCTTCTTGGCCGTTTTCTCTTCATTTAACTCCATTAACATATCCCCCAGCAATTCATCTGCCCCACCAGCGGCAGCAGAGCTTTCCTCTGTGTCTCGCTTCCTCTTGGCTGGCATGTTTGTCAACATGTCTCGAACGGAGAGGAAATTAGACTTTTGATTCTGTCGTTCCTCCTTTGTCGGCTTTTTCGACTTATTGGGCGCTTTATTCTTCCTCTTGGATGACCCAGCATAACCAGCCTCATCGATGAGGTCATCATCAAATAATTCATGTCCAGTTTCACAGTAACCTATAAACAAACAACGAACAAATCCATTATTACTCAATCTATTCATCTTGCACAATTCAATAAAGTATGCTTATCACCTGTCCCGTCATCCACTATCCAATCATCTTTCAATCGATCGTTCACCTTCCTCGAGTAAGTGTCCTCGTCCACGACGTCGTACACATTCTCCAACTCTTTCACCTAATAATAATAATAATAATAATAATAATAATATTTATTATACTGATTTATATGACCATGAGATACAGGTAACAATGATTAAGACTAAAGAAGGTAGCTCTAACTTAACATTTCACTACAAATAAGCTACATGGCATGTTTCAACAGTTTACATCCTATCTAAGCCATTACTATTACCGTCTTTAATTGACGTCAAATCAATAATTTATCAAGTGAACTTTCAAAACAATTCTTAATTAAACAATCAATTAATTACTCTACCCCAATAATACCAAATCACACTAGCAAAATAAACCAAACCACACCCACCTCATACTTATTCTTCACGCCACCCTTCCTCGTATTTTTCAACCTTTCCAAGGCCGCAAGTCTGCCTCCCTTATCGCCCCGAGACCTCCTCGACCTCCGCGACGCAATACTGTCGTCTTCGACGGTATCATCGTCCACGTCACTCATCCTGACTCGGCAAAATCTTCGACAAAATTTTTAACAAAATTTTCCAAAAAACAAAATAATTGCAAAAAAGAAAACCAGGTAAGAAAGAGAAGAAGAGAATGTTATTATTTGGATGGGGTCGCGTTCCCTCGCCCGCTCAATTCTCATATCCATTTGCCATTTATGCAGGGAACGGGGCATGGAGCATGGACAACAAAGACGTCAGTTTCGTCCTCCACCTGCTGACGAGACGGAGAGTGAGTGTTGGTAGTATCGTAGGTTGGTGCTCCACGTGTCCACTATTTCACTACTGCTATACACGCTTTCTCCCAGCAGCAGTAACCAGTTTGCGCAAGAAATTTTTGTCAAAAACAAAATTATTTAGTAGTAGAATCACCAATTTCGGAACAGAGGAGTATTTTTAAAATCATTCGTAAAAGTTTTGCTGGGGAGATTGTCCTTTGTAGAGGAAGGGTTTGGCTTGGCTTGGCTGCGCAAGAAAATTAAAGTACGGGTGAGTAAAGGATTTTGTAAATTTGTAAATTTTTAGGTGAGATTAGAAACGTTTGTGAACGTTAGTGCTGTGTAGGTGAAAATATTGGGTATTTAATTGTAAATTTGGAAATTGATTAAGTAGAAAAATGGGCTGTGTGTGTAAATCCCTGATTTTAATTTAGTGCTTTATGTTTGTTGTTATTTTAGGAAATCCATAATCATTAGACCAGATCAGTTGGGAAATTATTTGTTGTTATTGCACAACGTAACTGCGCCGTGCCTAAAGTTAACCTTGAAAGGACAGTGACGGGGAAGGAGTAGTAGTTTATTTTTTGATTGGAAGAAGACAAGAAGGGGTCATCATGTCGGATTCATCGTCAGATGCGGATCGTAATGTGGAGATGTGGAAGATTAAGAAGCTTATTAAAAGCTTGGAACAGGCTAGAGGGTAAGATACCATTTTTGGGAAAATGCTTGTTATTTGTTGGATTAGTAAATGACGAGTAAATTATTAAATGGTTAATTTGCATTGCAGGAACGGGACAAGCATGATTTCTCTCATTATTCCACCAAAGGACCAGATTTCTAGAGTAAGTAAGATGTTAGCCGATGAGTTTGGAACAGCGTCCAATATTAAGTCACGGGTCAACAGGCTTTCTGTCCTTGGCGCTATCACCTCGGTCCAACAAAAGCTCAAATTATACACCAAAGGTGAGAAGTCGACGAGTTAATTTATTTGTAGTGGTTGAACTTGTAAGCGATTTTGCTATTATTATTATGATCGTTTCTTTTTAATTCGATATAGTTAACCCCAACGGGCTTGTGATTTACTGCGGCACAATCGTCACAGATGAAGGAAAAGAGAAAAAAGTTAACATTGATTTCGAACCGTTTAAACCAATTAACACCTCGTTGTACCTCTGCGACAACAAATTTCACACCGAAGCTCTGACCGCTCTGCTTGCTGACGATAACAAGTTTGGGTTTATTATTATGGATGGTAATGGTGCCCTATTTGGAACTTTGCAAGGCAATACTAGAGAAGTTTTACACAAGTTCACTGTCGACCTCCCGAAAAAACACGGTTAGTTGAGCACTTTTGATTAATTATTATGAATTCAGTGACTAACCTTATTCATTGACTCGCAGGTCGTGGTGGTCAATCTGCTCTTCGATTTGCCCGTTTGAGGATGGAAAAGCGACACAACTATGTACGAAAAGTGGGTAAGTCAGTCTCGATAGTATTGTCATTATTAAGAAGCATGCAACGAAATTATATAAATTAATATTAATCAACTTGTTCTTTTTTTGTATTTTCTAGCGGAAGTAGCAACCCAGTTGTTTATTACTAATGATAAGCCCAACATATCTGGCCTTGTTTTGGCTGGTTCTGCAGATTTTAAAACCGAGTTGAGTCAGTCGGACATGTTTGATCAGGTACAGCAGTAGGGAGCGGTTTATTGTTGATGTCTTGAATTTGTATCAAAGTTTGAAATTGTTTTGTTAACTTTTAGCGATTGCAAGCCAAAATCATCAAGTTAGTTGACGTGTCTTACGGCGGAGAGAATGGCTTCAATCAGGCCATTGAACTGGCTGCAGAGTCCTTACAAAATGTTAAATTTATTCAAGAAAAGAAATTAATTGGTGAGATTTTTTTAAGGAAATCATTTGTAATAATTTTTACTTTATAGCTAATGGCCAACGCTCTATTATAATTTTCTAGGACGTTATTTCGACGAAATCAGTCAGGACACCGGAAAATACTGTTTTGGAGTGGAAGACACGCTGAAGGCCCTAGAGTTGGGAGCAGTAGAAACATTGATCTGTTGGGAAAATTTGGATATCCAAAGGTATGGCATATGGCGTTTGTTTTGTGAAAGCTATAAAAAATGACCTCACCTATACGGAGAATTGTTGTCTCTAAATTATTTTTATTATTATTAGATACGTATTGAAAAACCATGCAAGCGCAGTTGAAAATATTCTACACCTTACTCCAGAACAAGAAAAAGATAAGTCCCATTTTTCAGATAAAGAGGTAACTACATTACACATGTTTAAGGATTATATAAATTTGGACACAATTACATAAATATTTTATAAATTTAGACGGGGGTGGAGCTGGAACTCGTAGAATGTACACCATTTTTAGAATGGATAGGTTAGTTGCGACTTGAAAAGTTGTATCTTGTTATATAAGCCCAAGTCAAAGCTTGTGTACCGGGTGGGAATTTTTTTTAACGATACCTGACTCGGGCTAAATCTAGCTGCTTACTTTAGATTTTATCAAATGACATTTGTATTTTTTACCTTTCAGCCAATAATTACAAAACTTTCGGAGCTACTTTAGAAATTATAACGGACAAGTCTCAGGAGGGGTCTCAATTTGTTAGAGGATTTGGAGGCATTGGAGGTAACATTTTAATAAATTATGTAGCAAACCGTTAGTTCACTTATCTCTAGAATAATGAGTGGTTCGATCTCGCGTACTTAACAACGATCGATAAATATGGGGTAATCTTACTGGAAAATAGGAATGTTGAGATACAAAGTGGATTTCCAGTCCTTGCAAGCAGAGGACGGACTAGATGACTTTGACTTGGATGATTATTAACAGTGCAAACAAATAAGCGACACTGATAGTCCTCAGGGTCAGGGATTATTTCAATATTTAATTTTTTTAGCTTGCAGTGGTTTCAGTTAAAAATGTTAACAAATTAAGTTTCGTTTGTATGTTGGAGGTTTTGCACACTTGATGTATTTACTTTCACGTCTTTTCATATTTTAAGTTGATTTTCAGTTTTAATTAGTTTTATGCGATTTTGGTTTAGTTTGAATTTATGTTAATGTTGGATTTGCCATCGATGTGTTGTGATTTGTAAACTTGATTTTAATTTGTGTGATTTATAAAGGTTGTGATTGGATTATAATTGATTTTTTAATTTTTACAGGATTGTTGCGCTACAAAGTTGATTTACAAAGCCTTCAGTTTGACGAGTTAGATGCAGATTTTGATTATGACGACTACTAAAAAAACTGCCAACTCGACGGACTACACCGACCGACGCAGTGTTGTGATGAAAACTCTCACTTTCTTCTACGTTTCCGTTTAAGTCAAATTTAATTAAATTTGTTAATGGTAAACTTGTTAAAACTCTATAATATGGAAACTTTCATGTGAACCCCACTTCCGAATCAGTATGAAAAGATTAGTTCATTTTGTAATGTGAATCTTTTACATTTGAAACAACTTTAATACATGCAGAACGATTGCATAATTTTTTACTCCCCTGCTTAAAAGTATGAGTTCCATGTGCAAAAGTTCTACACGCTCTGAAACAATAAAAACGTTATCCAAATCTGGAATACTCTAGTCTTCATGTTTATTAAATATTGCATTTCAATAATAACATAACATTAGGTTTATTTCTCGAAAAACGAACTCATGGGGGCTGCGAAATCAGCCACCCACGCAATATTTTGTTCAATCGTTGTTACCGCAGCTCGAGTGGCCACAGGAAAGTTTGGAACCGCTGGAGTGACCTCATCGATATAGGCCTTGATCTAAAATAAATCAAAATAATATTCATGTAAATGTCTCCAGTTTTTGAGAAAATTGGTGTAATCTTACATCATCCAATGCAATCTGGGTGCCGGTGTACGTTGCCAAAGCTGTGATAACGTTACTCGCACCTAGAGCCGCCACACTTTCTACGGTGGTCGCACTTTCCCTTAAAAAGTTGACCAATGGAGCTCTAGCAAGGGGGTTCCTGGCAAGTTGTGACAGAATGACGGTGACATGAGCACTTTGGTTATAAAATCCAGTATCGAGTAGTGTTTCCTCCAAAAGCCTGGACAAAAAATGAGATGCAAGATGAGAAATTAGTATTTAAATTTCAAAATATAAACAATACGTACCGGGCTATTAAAGGTAATTCCTTCGTGCATGCGAGTGCATTAAGCAGAGTTCCTTGCTGCTTGACAGTAATGTTTCGCAAGATGTACTGCGAATGAATAAAATTGAAAGCAGTGTCCCCACCACCGGCAACAGCGGCGCAGTAAACGACCGGTTTGATGTCTCGTCGAATGCTGTAAAAATTTGTATTTATAATATGCAAAAGAATTCAATGATGATCATACTTACGGATTTTCTGAAGGATTTGCAGCCCAAGCTGTCACCAATCGAGTTGAATAACTGATACATTCTGGATCTTCAAATCCACACAACCAGTCCAAAAACTGCAAATTGCGTATGACCGGCATTCCTCCGTTTACATCGGGAAGGGCAGTGTTATTAACTCCGCCAGTTAAGCTCACTGCACTTTGAAGGCGTGGTAGCAAGAAAAACTAGAAATTAATTAATAATTAAGTAATTGTGAATCATTTCTCAGGTTTTCACAAATTAAGTAGTTGAATATGTACCCTGAGCGAGGTGTACCAGAACCCCGTGCTGGATAAAAGATTGAATGGCTTCCTCAAATTAGTGAGAACCGTGTTCCAAACAACTACTTCTCGTTCATTTCCAAGATACTCCATAAGACCAAGAGCAGTCGCGATGTTAATATGTTCTGAAAAAAGGGATACGTTTCATGAAAACTGTTTAAAGGTTATACTTGCTTTATGAATGGTACTACACAAACTTTGCCATGCTGCGTTGAAGTAATCATCCAAAAGTTGACTCCTCGTTCGGGAAGTAATAAAGTCATGATTGGTCAACAATTCTGACTGTATTAATTGCGTCAAGGGAGCGTCGTAAAGCACTCTGTAGAAACCTGGGAAGAAGATATTTCAAGTTACAATTATTTAATTGTACCTTTAAAAATATATTCAACACACCATTTCCTCCAGCGTTTACGACAAACCATTCTGAAGTATTTGTCAGAAAATATTGCATGGCCACGTCGTTGTGTAGCCACGATCCTACTGTCCCATTGGGGTTGGGCTGACTTCTTGTAGCGATCGCCATCGGAATATGCCACCTAAATAAAAAAGTAACTTTCTCTTTCACTAAATATATTCCCATTTAAACTTTGAACCAGGTTTAACAAAATAGTTTGATAAAATGCTAACGTACAAGCCGGTATCTTGATTGATGTGACCTTCAACTTGTACTTCGTTGTTCAAGAATCTTTCCTGTGAAATAAGGACGCCTGAGGCATCAGAAACGCTAACTCTGAGTAGAGGAAATCCGGGTTGAAGGGTCCACGTGTTCATGATGTCCCCCATGGTCAAGTCCCTCGGAAGCTTAGAATCGTTTTTGGCAGCTTCGGTTAAACGTTCGAAAAGATCGTCCTGGATGGCAGCTTGGAATTGCCTGGTGGAAATCAATTAAAATAGTATTTTTGTTTAACACGTGGTGAAAGCGAAACCTTAATATGAAAATTGACTCACATATCCTTTAGATATTTGAGAAGACCGTTTCTGAGAGTTTCTTCTCCCAAGAATCCTTTCATCATGCGAATCAGAGATCCTGCTTTCTCATACGCCATTCTGTAAAATTAATAGTTCATTACATAATTATATAAAAATGCATATGTTTTACGGGTTAATTTTCATTTAAATAATTACCTATCAAACCAAGTCATGGCCCCCGCAGTGATCCAAGCATTGTCGTCAATTTTAACAGAGTGGCTGTAATCTGATCTAGCATCAAATTGCATTGAATTTTGTACGGCATCATTTTGCCAGCGTTCCGACGCTTTGAATTCCGGTGCCACTACGTCCCCTCCTTGTTGAGCAACGTAAGTGGCAAAGCCTGTAAAAAATAAGATTTAGTACGTAATGTGACATACACTTTTATAAATTGCATGTATTCTTATCAACGACTTATTGCCTTCATTAAGCCAGATGTGAGTCCACCAGCGAGGCGAAATTGCATTGCCAAACCATTGATGACCTATCAAATAAAATTATTAGATAACCAATTATCATAAATTGAAATAAGACATATTTTTTAAATAATTAAAGTACCAAGTTCGTGAGCCAAAATCCGAGTAATTGAATACCTTTCCGTCTCTGTGGATTCGGCAGGAATGTACAAGAGTGCACTTTCCCTGAAAAAAACATAATTGATGCTATTAATTGTAAAAGCTATTAACAATCGCTATGTATATCTTTACCTGTAGATGTTTAGCCCGTAGTTTTCCATTGCTAAATATATTGCGTTTCTATTTAACTGACTCAAAATTGATAATTATTCATATGAATCTGTATGCGTACCCCCAAAGAAAAAACTGGGAACGGCTGCGCTATCCATTTTTCCGAGAGGATACTTTTCAACGTAGTACGATTCGAAAAAGCTTAAAATTTCGGCAGCTTTCTGAGCAGCATAAACTCCACCATCTTGATCAATGTAATGTGCTGGGGCATAGGTCTGTTCAAGAAAAATATTAATTTGCATCTCTCCCAACCATTATTCTTAATGTGCATTTGTTTGTCTAGATAAAATGGGGTCATACTCGAACCACTTTGCTGAAAATATTGGAAGGAGCTTCTTCATAAGTAAATTCTGAGACGATCAAGGCCAAAAGATATGTGGGCATTTTTATTCCAGTTGGGGCAAACTCCTCCCATTGCCATCCTGGAAATCCGGCCCTGTTATTATTCCATTATTTTTTTTAATGAATCAGATCACACGAAAAAATATTTTAGTAAATTTATCAGTACATTGTTCGATTTCTTAATGATTGTGTCGTTGTAAGGGCAATGTTCCCTGTTCTTCGCCCAATGGTAATGAAAAATTTGGCTTTAAATGCAGGTTCGTCGAAACAGGGGAACATCTGTCTGGCATGTAAGGCCTCCATTTGAGTTGTGGCAATGTACCTTCAAAGTCATGAATTTGTGGTTAATTTGTACTTATAAAATTTGCACATAAAAGTATTTGGATTTATAATTTACGTACTTTGTCGTATTCGTATACGGATCAACATACGCACTCCTGTAGAGTCCATCCAGTCCGTTTGTAATTATTGCTATGAAAGTCATTCTGATGTGGTACGCTGTCCCATTGACAAGTGGGGCTTGCATATTAAAGGTTTTGAATTGGTAAAGGACATCTTCAGTGGTGCTCAACACGGTGAGGTTGGTGCCAGTCTCGGTCTCAATGACCTACATAAATTGTACCAATTTCCGTTTCATTTACCATAATGTTCTGTACGTAATGTTCAGAATTACGATCATAGTACCTCGTAACTAGTTAGTGTAATAAAGGCTGTGCTGGCCAAATGAAGTGTAATTTTATCTGTGTCCTTTAGGACATTAAGGGCGATTGTTACTTCTCCCGGAGCTGTAAAGGGGCCTCCTAGGCCTGGAACATCTTCGTCTAAAATGGGAGTGATTGTGAGGTCATATTCTTCAGGCATGATGTCCCTGGGAAGACGCCATTCCAAGGTTTGGTCATCTAAGGGTCCCACCGCTGAACTCTGGAGGATGGAAGAGCTTCCCTTATCAATCCCGTCAGCAGGGAGGGGATAACCACTCTCAAAATCGACTTGGAGTCCGGTCTGACCCCGAATGATTCCTATATTTGCAGTGATTATGAGAATCACGCCAAGGAAATAGTGTAATCCCTTCATGACGTATTTCTAATCGAGTTTCTTAAAATATTAAAGAAAAAACCAGTAAAGATTTGCAGACCAAGCAAAAAATCAAGGCGTTGGTCTAAGGTCGAAGCGAACCTTGGGAAAGTGAATAAATTTGTGTGCGTCACTTATTCATTTTCTCATCAAACGAAATGCCGGACATTTTATTAATCAAGCCGTGATCAAGTATGGTGATAAGGCCTGAAGATTAATAAGAATTCGGAGATTTATTGCCAGTTGATCCTGAAATTGTGTCCTGATAAGGCCTTATCAAATAAATTCAGTTAAGCTGGGGAGACAATAAGGCATTTTCATTTCGGATGAGTAATTCTGCTCTACTCTACATATGAATCTGCACCATATACCTATGTATACGCAACATGTATTGCAGTTTTGCAATATTTGGTTAAATTCATTGAAAAAATCGCGACTAATGGCAAGGAATGCAGTGATTTCAAGCTAATCTGACCCTCATAATTATAACACTCCTTTTTATTACAGCCCTCATTGACAGATATGTAGCAATCTAGGAAAATCCAAGTAAATACTATTCATGATTATGATACTTAATCAATTCTTCATCACAATCTGTTTTATTCCAGGTAATCATAATATACAATATCATATAACACATTTAGATAAATATAGGTACATCATGAGTAAAAAATACCACTTTATTAAATAGTACTTAATTGCTATATACTTATTAAATACAAATTATCTATACGGATAAATATGTTGAGGTATAGTTTGTAAAGAGCTAAATAGTATGTAAAAGATTCACAATTTTTAGTTCGATGATAAAATTAGTTTGGAATTTAGAGTGTTTTTGACGCGATTTCGCCACCCTCGTCCGCAGTGATAGTACCGCAAGGGTTGAGATTATTGTCTATCAATGTTTTAATAGTTTTAGGTTCTACTGCTTCGCAAGTGTCAAGATTGGTTGGAGATTCAATTGTTGTGGTCGTTGTCATATTTTCTTCGCTATCTGGCTCATTTTTTCGGATTGCACTCGTCGTGGAGGTCACCTCGTTTGGCACGTCATGATCCGGAGAGTCTTCCGAGCATTCCACTTGTTCAACAGTTTGCTGAAGGTTATTCAGGTGGAGATGAGTCTGTCCATGAAAATTATTGTGATGATGATAACTATTATTTTGGCAAGGATGATTTTCTCTCATGTTGTTGTTTCTAGTGCGAGATAAGTTGTTGCAGAGGAGGGAGGAGGGGCAGGAAGAGTGGGAGTGGTCGTAATGTTGAACATTACTGTAAGTGGGGGATGGAGTAAGCGGTACAATTCTCGTGATTCGGCCATCACTAAAATACACGTAAGGATGAGGACATGCCGATCCGGGAGAATCTGCGTAAACTGTAGACAAAAGTATCCAACAAATTTTAGCTTAATTCAATTTACTGCAAGTATTTATAAACGGTAAATTATGTATTACCAATCGTGGTCCCCACTTGATTTTCTGCATACTCTGTGGGAAATATTAATTATGCAGATAAGTACTTATTAACCAAGCAATTTATAAATTGATAGAGCTTATGGTAAACCTTGAATATTTATAAGATGACCAAAATTCGATTCTTCAGCGTAATCTTCGCGACGAGACTTTGCTGGTCTTCTCCGATTAACGAATAGTTTGCACTTCCACCAGCAGACTACAATCTGTGTAAGTGTAAGGATTAAAATATAGATACGAAGAAAATTAATATGTGACCTCTTCCTGTGTGGTGGGTGGGTACTTACCATGATAATTAATCCCGCACTCAAAACAAATGGAAAAAGGATGTAAATGACATCCAACGTCCCTCGACTAACCGTGTTACCCATTTTAACTCAATTTCATGTGCAGCACAAAAAATTGATATGATTAGAGAACACTGTTGAATTATTCATTGCTTTATAAAATCTTCTTTTATCCAATTATTTTTGATATTTAGCATGATTTATTTAATCCAAAAAAGAGTTTTAAAAACACATAATTTTCATTATAAACTTGTCAGACCCCATTGCACATGGGAAATTACCTGATCAAGCCATTATCCAGGAAACAAGGTCACTTTTCACCCTTGCAAGTTTTTTTCTATTCCACAAACCAACAAGTGTTCACCAACGCAAGAACATGAGAACAACTTTCACTATGTACATACACGAACAAGAAATCCCCGAAATAGGATCTCACTCCGGTATCCATCCGTCTCTAAGTCTGTGTTGGCGTATGATGATATGTACATACGTCGAGCATCATACTCTCTAATTTCGTTTCTAGGTGTTGTTGATAGCAGCTACGAATCCCGTGGAATTATTGCCGATCGGAGTTTTGGTGAACGTGCGAGGGAATGCAAATTCTCTCTCTCACAGAAAAAAGAAATCATGCTTTCACCCACACGCCGTACGATCCATGTCGTTCCTCGTATGTACAAAAACTACTGCTTTCTCTGCAGTGAAACGTGCAGCTTTCTCCACTCCACGCATAACCGCATGCACAGCAACGAGAGCGAAGGTACTGACAACCCGCAACCTCCCGATACGAGAGAGACGGCCAATCTATTCAATCGCAAAGTTTGGACAATGCACGTGCTGCTACGGCTTCAATGATGCCCAAATTCGGAGATATATGTATGTAGCTCACGAATTTGGCAGCCCTCCAAACATCTTAAATTGTATGTACTCCAACAGAGCAGCGAACTTGCACACTTGATTATCAGCTTTCACATCCGTCGAGCTCTCCTAATGAACTGGGTGGCATGCTGGGAAAACAAAGGCTAAAGAAGGAGAGAAAGTCATGGGGATTTTCATTTTGAGACTGTTATGTACGTACAATACGCAGGGAGAAAGTTGGCCAACAGCTTTTTCCACAGCACGACAGAGCTGTAGCGGAAGCAGTCGTGTTAAAATAAATTAAGGAAATAAGCCGTATACATATTCTCTTGTGTGTGGCCCAAAATTCTGTACAAACTTGCCCATCTTACCGGCGCTCCTCCTACAAAGTACACATGGCGTAATCCTGGGCGAACGTGAGTAAATGATCAACTAGGTGGAGAAAGTGGAGCAACCTTTATGAGAAGGTTGAGCAAATATGTGGTCCAATTTAGGAAAATTGACGATCCTGTGGTGGGTGGCAGAATTGTGCAGTGTGTCGTCAAATGTTCATGTCCCAAAAAGTGGAAAGTTGAGGTACCTCTGCATTAATGTATGCTCTGACTGGATTGGATGGTCCGACGGAATAGTCAAGTTGGGACCAGTTGAGAGCAGTTGGGACCAATGCATCATTTTTTTCAGGAACGTACGTACTTCCATATACGTAAAAGTGGACCTACGTAGTGCATATGTGCTAGTAGATATAAATTTTGTCGAAAACTTTTAACTTTTCAACCGACAACTCAACTTCGCTATCTTGCTCTCTCTCTCTCGCTCTCTCTCAAGGACAAAGTAGCCTCTTGGGATCAACTCTACTGAAGTAAGAGGAAAGTAGCGTACAAGAGCTAGAAAGACGTAAAATAAACAAGTTAAGTGTATATCAAGGAGTGGACGGAGCTAGGTCTGGCGAAACCTGCCTGCCTGGATGAGCAAAGGGAATGGTATTGTTGCTCTCTACAGGACAAAATCGATATACGTACCCTTATCGCAAAACTTTACAAGTTAGTTGAAGATAAGGGACACTATACGTTGGGTCATCCATTTTATTCCCAGTTAATCTTATCCTTCTAGAAAACAGGAGATATTGCCATAATAATTTTGCCGAAAAACAACAGAGAAACGAGAAACATAATGAATTTATGCATGGGTATGGGAAAGACAAAGGTGGATCGAACACCCCCTGCCTGCAGTCTAAACATTCCGAAACACAAAATATGTACAAATACCAAAAAGAAAGAATTTTCCAAGCTGTCTCAAAATCTTTTGCTAGGTGAACGTGGGTCGAAATTGGAATACTTTCTCAGTCTCTGAGATGTATGTATCTCTTAAAGAAAGAAGGTGGACACTTTTGTGCGGAATGTCGACAACTGTAGTAGGAAACTTGTACATACATATTGCACGTGTATTGTGTGGACAAGTAAAGTTTTCGGGGAATTTTGAACCATATTTTCGTCCAAGTACGTACATACTTGTGCCATCCTGAGGAAGGATGTATGTATGTTATCTACTCCTATATATCTCCTTTCTCCTACAGAATGCTTAATATATTCCTGCCCTGGACAAGTTTATCATCCTTGTTTGTTGCCTTTGTCTGCAAGAGACAAGAGAGAAAGCGAGCGAACATAGAAATTCATTTTATTCATTATTCCAACGACACCATTCCAGTCCTAATGGGAATTTAGGGGTTATTATACATTTCTCTTCCTCAAGTCAAATAATAAACGCAGGCTTCTTGTCCCAGGAACAATAAGCCGTTTTGGGACAATACATAACTGATATTGCGCAAGTGGAACTCGTGGCGTGCACATTAAATATTCAAATCTTTTCATTGCCTCACTTTAAAAACATTTCTGGTCTTTTTACACGCAGCAAGTTAATCGTAGCCCTTTTATTTCATTTCACTTTTGCAGGGAATGTTCTCGGGTGGAATTAAGAGACGAATTTGATGAAACCACTGAATCCTCACCTCGCAGCTAACCTAACCCGCAAAAGTGGGGTTAAGCAATGGACCGTAAGACATAACTTGGCCTTATTCCACCACATGAAATATTTCGCCTGAGAGAAAAGAGTAGGAATTACGGGAGAAAGTGGAGGGAACAAATTCCCAAGACGGCTCAACAAACCACTTACACATCCACTCAATAGCGGCTGCTGGGGATAGACGTGAAACAGGATTTTGTATTTTCGTAGCCATAATTTTGTAATGTGATGGACTTTTCTTCTCGTCGAGTTGCGGAGCAGTTGCCAAAACTTTATGCTACAGATGAGATTCGCTTCACAGAAGAAGGTCAAGCGTGAAGGATAAAACAAAATGATTCCATCACATCATAATCCTTTCCTTCCATGATTCTTTCTTCGCCCAAAAATAGAAGCAAACAAGATCATTTTATTTTTATGTATTTTTCAACCATCATTTTGCCAGATTGAATTCAACCCAACGTGTAAAAACACCACCAAATTGGACAAGTGGATGTTGTTACGTGTCAAATACAGAGTATGAAGAGTTCCGTTCTTCTTTTTAAGCACCAATGTTTACAGATCGGTTCCGTTGCAGCGTAGCGTTAAGTGTATTTTTAAGCTGAACTTTCTCCAACTTCTATTCAGTGTTCAAATACAGATGCAAATACAAATAGTCTGTTTCTTTATATACAAACAAGATTTTTCTATTTATGGCAAAATACCATTTCTCCGACGTACATAAGTGTGTATATATATTCTCTTATTTAAATACACGAAATTTATGCGCGAGAGAAATTTATCTGGTTTTGAATCGCGTATTGTTATACAAGTGGAGAAATGTCATCTGTCGCAGAAAGAGGGAGAAAGTGGAGAGGAAATTAAGCCGAAACATGACAACTTAATTAAAACGAGGAGCACTTTCTCCCGTGAACTTTGGAGCTGAAGCATGAACGAGTTTTTTTTCCTACTGCTCCAACATTTAAAGCCCATGTCACTTTCATCTCAAGTGAAGCGAGTACGAAATGCTCTTCACTCACATATTTAAAATTCAATTTCCTTCTAATAACGAGTCAAGTCAGGTAGAGAGAGGGAAAACTGGGCACGAAATTGCTCGAGATTTGGCTTTCCCTCTGTGTGTATACATAGGATGCTGGTCTGGAACTAATGGCAAGTGAAAGTAAAATCCTGCCCGGAGCAAGAAACCGGATGAAATGAGCGGAGGCGGAATAAAACAAGAAAGATCGTCCTCTGATCTGACAGACTGAACTCGCTGACGCATTCACGTAGAAACTGTGCAAGGCTTCAGAAATGGTTAGATTCGCAACAATAAACCTGTGTGATTCAGAGACGGCCAAACGTCAAATTATGCAAAATTCTGATAAAAGATGATGGTCTGCTGCTTTCACTTATCTTGTGCCCACTCAATTGTTTAAAGTGAGGGAAAACAATAAGGCTGTTGTTATTACAACACGATATTCTATACAATTTATTATTCATCAATATCGATTAAAACACGATCATGCACCGGGGTAGTTAACAATACAATGTTGAATAAATTTTATATATCACTTAACCATGTTTCACTGCTTGTTTACTTACACGTTTTTGTGACAATACAATACACATTTGTCGCATCAAGTAGTATACCATTCTGTATGTAATGTAATGAGAAGACTTCTAATTGAGTATGGCTATATCAGAATAGCGCTACGATCTACACTTATCCCAATTTCTATTATTTTTTAGCTAGAAAATTAGACACCAACTATTTCAATCGTTTCAATCTGTATGAAACTATGCTGAATCAATATTATATGGAAGAATAATGAACATCAATTTGTTAATTGTTCCTTTAGCACGATTGAACTATTACTATTAATACATGTACATATTTACAAGTATAAGTTTATTTATACGTGTATAAAGTTTGCTGATTGCAGTAATTTTAACACTACAAGACTGACAAAAATGACCTATGCCGACTAAAAATGCATGATTTTTCTCCCTTCATTCCTTCCTTACCATCAACCAGTGTAAATAATGTTCAACTGATTCTTATATATGTTAGTATTAGACTCATTTCCATTTTACGGTAAAAGTTAATGTATTACATTAAAATTGATTACTTGCTATCACGAATATGTTAAAATGAGTCAAAATGCCAGTACATACATATTACATTGTACTTACACATTGTAAGCTATTTTAGTAATAATAAGTGTTAATAGATTCCACACATGAGACCGCTTTGTTGCCTTTCCTGAGCAAATAAATTATTGAAATTAGGAACAAAAGTTGCAATAACTGTATATAGTTTGTTTTTGTATAGACCCAAGCAAGTTCCCTATTAATCAGCACTTATGAAATTTGCAGCAATTTTTTCAATTTATCTGAACATTTGTCTGAAAATGTACCTATTGAACCTTCCAATTATTTTATGTATGTAAGTTCGCCCCAGGCTAGAAGGCGAATTATGATGATGTGTGCGTTAAAAAAAATTAAAATTAAAGTAGTAGTTTCATCCCACTCAATTGGGTATAAAACTTGCTAAAAAAAGTTGCAAAAAATAACAAAAAGTCAACCTTATTAAACATATACATAAATATGTAGTAGTAAGTAATAGTTGCGGTTAGTATACATATAAATTTAGTTGACATACTATACATTTTTGAGATGCTCATTAAAATATGTTCCCAGCGTAAACTACGTATGGATTACAGATTTAAAAAGTGACAGAAATAGTCAAGAAGACAACGAAGGAAGTATGAAATGTCTTTTTTTCAGCGTATCTATTGCAGTGAAAGGGCTCTCAACAATTTTCTGCCAGGATGAACCGACAATGTTAAATCGGATTGATCACCCGTGCCAAATGCGAGCAGAAAGGGAAGCAATCACATTTGTGTGAAAGTTTCCAAATCCGCTCCTCTCTCCTTCGCATGTAGCCAGGCCAAGTCTATAAAAGAACTTCTTTGATCAATCAACGACTAGAGTTTAACACTATTGTGATGATGCATCATCATTCGTATAAAGAAGAATGAGCTCTAAACTAAGGGTATGTACATACGTATGTATATTACTAACTATGTGAGAAATCGGAATGCTCTTTGCCTCCGCATGTCAAAAGTATCCACTTTGGTTGGTGAAGTGAAATACGCAATTGAAAACTGGGTTCGAGTGAATTGAATTATTCATAAAGATGCCTTTTTGGAGTTGCTGTGATTGAGGTCAAGTATGTAGGGAATGGACGAGATTCTACGTAGCTGTCTAGATAAAATGAACCTACAAATATCAATAGAACTACATACTATATCAGTGCTACAATCTACACAGATTTAGATTCATACCACTTTGCAATATGTACTCGGTTTTCTGTATTGTTTTACATCGTACTCTGTTACACACGTTGAATTTTTTGGCAAGCATAATATCACTGGACTTACTGGATGTATAAAATAACGAATTTTGGATAGTTTGGTATTCTATGATTTGGAATTGGGCCGGAATGGAAATATTTCTTTTGGACAGGATTTAAAGGGACATTACTAACACAATGACGGTAATACTTTGTGCGTGTTGACATCAATTGCCATCTCAATTATGTTATTTCCCAAATGGAAATCTGTGGATACGATGTTGCACTTTGAATACCACTCCTTCGACTGGAACCAGTAGGTTAATGGCAGATTAACCAATTCCGCGAAACCTGTAATGTACCAATATTAGCACCAGGCTTATATACGTATATATGTAAACTAAACAGAATATAAAGAGAATATAAAATTGGCTAGGATTAAATTACCTCGAAGTCCAAACCTGTAATATAACATTACAATCAGGGTTTATATGTATACTGTCCATGAATAAAAGTATACTATACACGAAAGAGAATTAGTTAGGATTAAGCTACCTCGGTTTTGAAATGTAGTCAATCGGCTTTGGCGTTAATTCCGCCATGAGGGAATAAAATATTCCTTGACCTCCATGTTTTTGAATAGCTTCATCCATGTATTTTTCCAAATGTTCAGGTTTCCGTTTATTTCCCCAGGCCTTGTAATAAAATTGATCCAATTACAATCACAATGTGTCTAATAACTTGGATTTGTTCAAATATCTCTGATTACTCTTCATAATACTTACATGCAGTAGATACGGCCATAAACATTTGTTATCATCCTGTGAAGCAAAAGAGTCCTCGGCATACGTCCAAATGATGTTTTTGTTGGCTTTCCACAGCATATTAGTCGTTACAGATGTAGGGTAAGACGTGGGCACCAAATGCTTCCCGATTTGAGACATGACAAACTTGATAAGCTCTTCATGGATTTCAGGTCCACTAAAATATATTGAGTAGTTTTCAATTAACGAGTTGCGTAATGTATGAATATTATTTAGTAATACCTAAATCCAATGGGAAAGGAGTGAAAATCCAAAAATATAATTTCCTTTGTTTCCTCGACGAATCGCCGAACATCAGTGAGCAGAGTCAATAGTGGATGCACTCTGTACTTATCATGATTGACCTAAAGGGAATAGTGATCGTTTAAGACATGTGCATTCTACATACTGATATTATATATGCAGGGGCCATGTCACTTACCCAGAATCGTTCTTCAGTTTCCGGATAGAATGCTACCCTTACATCAAGATACCGGATACCATGTATCAATTGATCGTATATCGAATCCTCTTGACTGTAATAATATGTAGAAAATAAATAGATTGCACATTAGAAATACTGTGTAGTCTAAATATGACAATATCACTTACCAGATGTAGTACCGCACATAAATATTTTCACATGTTCCATGATCATATTCCATCCTAAACATTTAAACTCTAGTAATACAGTCAAGCTTCATTATATTTACATGACATGACATGATATTAATTACCATGATCCAGCATCATGAGAACCAGGAATCATTAGTGAGTGAAGAGGAATGTCTCCAATTATGTTCTACAAATATAAATAAATTCCATTGAAATCTTGAATCCATCTTACAAATTGTTGAAACTGATAATCAAAATCCATTCCTTACTTTGAGCTCCCTCATCCAAAGGGGTCGAACTTTCAAGAAGTTTGATTTTACAACAACCCATGACCCCGTTTGGAACCGCAAGTAAGCCACCCAGTAGCCCAGTGACCTGTCTTTGGCACACAATGGGCGACGTTCATATCTCACGGATGTCTTATAGCAGCCACGTTGTCCTGTCACCGCTGCAGATTCTTTCGCCAACTCGACGATTGATTTTCCCTTGTCCTTTTCCCTCAGATCTTTGTTCACGTCAAAATCGAAAACGCCAATTATATCGCCGTTTCGAAAATCTTGGAAATTAGTCCAATTCAGCTCCAATCTTCTGTCCAAACTTATGATGTGCTTTCCAAACTTGGCCTGACCTGGATTAATTAATTAATTATATCACATTGATGTGTTATTGTATTACATGCTTATCATTGTTTTTATTAGCTACCAGCTGTTGAGCAAACGGTGATGAAGACATGAGGATCTTCGAAAAGTACTGTAATAAATAATTATAAGCAAAATTGACAATCAACCAATGTAATAAGGTAGGTGTCAAAAAGCAAATATGACCTTACCAGCACCAGGCCTCATCATCTTGAGCACATAGATGAGCGGACTTGTCGCAGGCGTATGAATAAATTGGGTCAGTATGCGTACAGGAATGATTATCCACCTGCTTATCTTATCCTCATAGAATTTCAATTAATCCCCGTCACCCGTCTTCACTTCAACAGCTTAGCCAGACGTACAAAAAGGATTTCAATCTCACAAAATTTCTTGATTTCCGGACCAAAGGTACAAAATTGATTCCCAGCAATACGTATATATTTGAACGGTGATGATAACCCTCGCTTTTCTTGATATGAAATTTATATACCGTGTTGTGTACTGTCTTTTTTAGAATAGTCCCTTTCGTGACAAAACTTAACAGCTGATTGAAAATTAAATAAAAACAAGTTACGATAAACTCTATCTTATCAATTAAATAAACACTTACGTTTTTCTCATCAAACAAGTGATCCTCCAATGGACTGCAAAAAATTGCCTGATTGTCCTTATTAGTCTTCTCCCTGTATCTTTCTCACTTTCAATGTCAACTTTTACTACAATTAAGTAGCAGGAAGACGAATTAAATACAAAAAATAATCCAACTATTAATTTTGATTAGCATTAGATCTTTTTATGCTCGCTCCCCTTCACTCTTACTGCCAAGGGGTTGATATTTTCAGCCGAGAATATGTAGAGATTGGTTCGTTTTACTGGGAAAAATTAAAATTTAGGGGGGATTGGAAATTTGGTGAAATATTAGGAAATTTAGAGGAGGAAGGAGAGCAGCTGCAGCGGAGATGGATAAAAGCGGAGAAAGGTGAGAGGTGGACTGAAAATCTTGGCTCTGCTGCCTCTGCTTTCTCCTCTCCTGCTTCAACTTGATCCATCCATCCATCCAGATGAAGGGAAACCACCATTGCCACTTACTTACCACTGCCACACTGGATGGGCTTAGCAAGTGTAAAGTGCAAAGTACGAAACCAAGGCAGAAATTTCATTTCATGTTTCATTTCAATGCAATATCAAGAAGAAGCTCGAGTGTGTGGATGGATTGTGGATGAGCAAAAGTTTTGGTAGTCTACTGACTGCTGAGCTTCCAGAATCTTGAAAAGGTCACACACATCACGAGACAACCACGGGATGTCAATGTCAGCTAAATATGTTGGACATGTTGTGGGTCGAAGGTCGGGTAAAGTAAGGAGTGGAAGGTGGAAGGAGGAAGAAGAGAAAGTTGACGTCTCGAGAATCAATAACAAGTTTAGTCATCATTTCATACTTATCAAGATGATGAGTCAGCAACATCCGTCCAGGTTTCAATAATTGGATAAACGAAAGTTGACATTTGGGTATTAGACAGAGAGACAAGGCAGGGACATTATAATAATAGGAGTAATATCGTCGTCGTCCTCTTATACATAAGTACTTATCCCGAGAGAGAGACAAGCAGCCCACCTACGCGAATAAACTAGTTCAACTTGATAAAACAATTCTTGACTTGACTTGCCTGGGTCTTCTCGAGTGAGGCAAACGAGGCTGGAATACTTATTCGCTTCAGTCTCTGAATAACTCGGGATGAGTTGTGTTCTTCTTTGTCTTTCGAGATGTGAGATATGGTTATATTGTGTGAGGGATGGAAGTTGTAAGAAGATTCGCAAATAAGATACAAAGTTGGCAAAATGGCAATTAGAGGAGAGAAACATAAGTATGGCATAATAATATCATATTTATTTCATTCCTTCATTAAACAGTCTTCCACTTGAATGACTCTCTTCTTTAGTCGAACTTTATATAATCTTAGAAATTATAACAAAATGCAAATAATTTCATATATATTTACATGATGATTATTACAATATATACCCTGAGAAAGTTGAGGTTTTTTTGTGCATATTTCATATTTCAGAAAATGATGCATAGGTTTAATTATTTGCTTATTGACTTTGGCAAAATTAAAGTTTTTTATTGGATTGATATACTAAATAATAGCTAATTTTGAATTAGGTTCCCTTCCGAATCGTAGGGACACTCATAGCGGGAAGAGTGAACGCAAAGGTCACCATTAAATAAGTGACCGACTTGACAATTAAGACCCGTCTTTTCATTATTAATACAGAAATAATATTTAGTACAACTACTCCTCCTCTCGGTGTAGAACCCATTAGATTTTTCTAAACAGGTTTCCTCCTCCTTATCTGAAGGCTTATCTGATGTAACATTATCGGGAAGGTGTTTATAAGGGGGGCTTTTCTCAACCTTCGTGACACCATCTAAAGGAACAATGGCTACTTGATCGCCACTCGCAACTTGAGGGAAATGCTGAGAACAGCACTTTCCATTTACGAAAACCTTCCCAGTTTCGCACTGCAATTCTATGACTTTAGCTTTCTGAAAGCAGTAAAAGTACTTTCCTGGGTGGCGTCCCCCTTGATAAGCATAATATCCGTTGGGTTTATTCCCACACGGGTTGGACCCTGGTTTTACTGGGCAACGGTAATCTTCATCACACTTTTTTCCGTTGAATCTCTCTCCCGGAGGACAAACATAGGTGAGTTGGTAACCAGCCGCGCAAAAGTAGTATGATGTACAATCTGACCCGAAATTTTGATAATAGCCGTCATTTTTACGGGAGCATGAATCGTCAGAGTCAATACCATTTGCAAGAGTGGTCGTTGGGGTGGTAGTAGTGGTGCTGGTAACGGTTGTGGATGCAATTGTGGAGTATTTCCTGGCACGATTCGCTCCACGAGTGAAAGTTCGCTGGTGGTTCACAATGAAACTTTCTTTCTTGTCCCGAATGCTGTTCTTGCCTGAGGAGGTGTATAGAGCGGATTGCGATGCTGCAGGAATCAGCTTTTCATCTTCGGAGGATGACGTTACAGGTGACGACGGGTATTTTGAAGGCTGGGCTTCGATTATGCAACCCACGTGGACGACCAGCACTGCAATAAAGAAATAAAATTAGATGGTGATCACATATTTTTGGCCGTTATGATAAAAATGTACTCCAAAAATGCGAATGACGACAGAAGAAGAGGTTGATTTTTTATTTCCCAAAGAAATAATCCCACATTCGCATCATCATTCTCGGATACCTGACAAGTTGTATGTAACAAAGCAAACCCCGTATATTGCAGGAGTACCATAAACCCATCCAAGAGTTTTGCCCAACAAAACAAAATATTTGCAGAGTCAGTCATACATGATTAATTTTACAAGTACTTAATAGCATTATCACCATAATACACTTTATTCTATATGTACACGTTGCTGTCCCGTTCCCTGGAGGAGAGAGCTAACTATAATTCTATTACTTACTAGCGATACTATCCAGGTATCTTTAAGCACATACGTTACATACACGACTGGATACGGCAATAAATTGTCAGTAATTACTTAAAATATGCCAATGAAGCTGAAAAAGCAGTATGTGCCAGATCCGTCTTCGGTCACGAGCTAGCAACAAGTATGAACATGGCGCATGTAATTATTTGCAATTCTAAACCAATATGGCTGCAGCGCATTTCAATCAGTTGTGCTAAAAACAGACCCATGTGCTCATTCAATATCATCGCCAAGAGGAAAACTTTTATGATTGGTTGATCAGTACAAATTGACAAAATGAGAAAACTCTGGTCCAATCAATCTTGAAATTGACAATCTAAGGAAGGACAATTACTATAATGATGAAATACTGCCAACAGCTAATCTACATACCAATCAATCAAGTATGTAAGCCTGCGCAATTTCAATTTATTTTCTGGATTACCGAAGTATGTACATGTACCACGTTGAGATACATGGATGTCGTGTCATCCGCCATTTGATCATCTTTACGTATTATTATTTAACATCATTATCATATTAGCATCTCATCAACCAATATGCCACAACTCATTGTCTTAAGTTGTACATACTTTCGTCGTTCGCCATAAGTCATAGTCGTGGTTTGGCTTGTGCATAAAAAATGGTGAAGAAGATCGTGACTTGACAACAAACTAGAGACAACGCCACTAATTTCGCTATATCCGGGTTCATTTTGACTTTACCATTTTTTGCGACTCGTCATTTTCGGCCATCGTTTACCACATAATCATTCTTCAGTTTATTACACGTGATTTTCAAGAAAATATGACCAGATTTCCCCACCACCACTTATGATGGGATTATGACTAGGACATGAGGTCCATGAAATTTATTCCTCGAATTCTCCAATAAACTTGAACTTTTTTGCTGCAAACTTCCGAAGTTCAAACAAGTCTATGTATGCCAATTCCGACAGTCTTGATTATGTAGCTAACAGAAAAAAATTTACCTAATCAACTTATTGTGCAAACTTTTTGTCGGAAATTGTAATTGTCTCAGCTACGACCTTCATACACTGACAGCAATTCCTGGACAATAAATTCATCCATTTCCTTCGTCTCTACTTATTATTATCAGCTTGACACTCTGTATATGTACAGATATGTGTCTACTGCTCTATACGACAACAAAAAGTGTGTGTTGCTTAGTTCAATATCTCAACTTTTTGGCAAAAAAAACTCATGTAAAAGTTGACTTGAGATGAGGAAGACAGCATGATCAGAGTATTATCAGGATGCCGGATCTACATATGTTACCGTCTAAAAGATCCATAATCTTATTGACAAGAAATATCTATGTACATATCTGAAAGTGTGTAACAAGATTGAGTTAAAGTCATCCACGTGGCACCACGATGTGGACACTTTTTGACACATTGCATAAATGCCAATTTATATAAATTATGGGAAAAAACGTAGATACGATTATTGATTAAATGTGATTGTAAATAGTTTTTATCATCTCGACCACCTGAAGCGTTTAAAGCATTGTCTTTTTATTTAATTCTAAGCTATCAACTTAACCATTTTAGCCATTTTTATGGTCGTAGTAGATAATAGCGTAACTTTGTGTTATCTGCGTGTTCCTATTGATGCACAAACGGTTCACTTATTGCTGTTTTGCATAGATTTTATTGTGTGAAGAGCCTGATTGCTGATTTGCATTTTGCGTTATTAATTAGCAACCCGGATCTGTGTAGTATCCATGTGCATTCCATTCTCCTAACTTGCACCTCTTACAATGCAAGTCTTTTACGTGTACAACTCAGATCTCAATGGGACCAATTTTATTTTGTTCACCACAAAAAATAAGCATACCCGTATTTTTTCATTTTTCATAATGCGCTAATTTGAGCGCGTGGCGCGAATTTTAAAACATTTTTCAGCCAAAACCTCGGTTTTAAAAAAATCTGTAACTTTTCGAATTTTAGCGCGAATCCAAAAATTCGAAAACATGTCTCTTCAGAATGACTTACTTGACTTGTAAAAAATACACATGCATTATTTTTTGAAAATTTGAAAGAGTTTATAATTTTAATGAATTTCAAAAACCGGCAAAAATTTTGAAATTCAAATTTGGAGACAATTGGATTTTTTACAAGTCAAGTAAGTCATTCTGAGGAGACATGTTTTCGAATTTTTGGATTCGCGCTAAAATTCGAAAAGTTACAGATTTTTTTAAAACCGAGGTTTTGGCTGAAAAATGTTTTAAAATTCGCGCCACGCGCTCAAATTACCGCATTATGAAAAATGAAAAAATACGGGTATGCTTATTTTTTGTGGTGAACAAAATAAAATTGGTCCCATTGAGATCTGAGTTGTACACGTAAAAGACTTGCATTGTTAAATACTTACTACTACAACCCACTTACTTATTACTGGCTTTTGATGAACCACTATCAACCTGGCGTAGTAGACACCAGACGGCAAAAAAAGGTTACTTCGACCTTTTGGTTATTAAGATATAACGTATTATTTTATGCAGGCACACATATTCGTTTGGATGACAGACGGCCAGCACGGGTTTCTTTATTTAATGGATCTTAATTAGATGATGATAGCAGTTATTACATATTGATCGACGGTCAAGTTGAAGTGTAATTAAATACCTTTTAATTTGCATTTGCACATAAAGAAAAATGCTTCACAGCATCATGTTATTTTCGTCTTGATTGAATAATATTGCGAATTTGCGAATTGCATCATCACGCATAAAATAAATGGGTTAACGATAACAGATAAGGAGGAACAAGTAAACAGTAGCATTACGATCGTCAGAGGGGTTCTTGCTTTTTTGGATGGATTAATTGATTCCTTGTTCAAGCTCTTGTCAAGATTGATTGTCTATTTGTTAAGGTGTGGCTCAGGTGTGAACGTAACAGCAAGTGCCGAATTTATTACCTTGTTGGTCATACCAAGTACTCAATATGGGATGCTAACTTGCTGATAATGCAATCTTTGAAATTTTTGATAGACAAATACTAATCTCAAATTAACCTTCTTCTAATGAATTATGGAAATTAAATATTGCGAAATCTGTCTGTGGTCAAACGAACTTTGAAGTTTATTTTTTTGACTGATCAGTAATTCTTTCGTTTTGTACGCTTGGGAATTTGGCTAATTATTCCCTCCGCAAAAATGCGGATCTTCCTGACCTCGACGATATTAAGGGCAAATAGTTGAGTTTAATACGACTGGGATGTCAATTTTTTGGAGAAAAATGCGGATCCTGATCAACCACAACAAAACCTATTTAAAAACTTTAAGCCGTCTGTTGTCTTGTCGGTGACATTCTTTTGCAGATAGTAAAACCCAACAATCAACTACTGAATAATAATTAGCTAGAGATACATGTTTCAAGCTACTACTTCTACTCGTTTCATCTCATCACGACGACACAGGGATTAACGATTGCGCGATAATTCCATAAGATAGTGGACAAGTACATGATATTTAAAACCATAAAACTTGTCCGGCTTTGCGGATCTTTGCTAATTTAGTGCTTTACTGGAAATGATGATGATTGTTCGTCGTATAAATACCTACATATCGGCACGATTTTCATTTACTTATTTAGCTAATACAAATTATTATGCAATCAGGGTTTGAGCTACTATTTACTAGTTTATGCATCGTGTATGTACTCATTTGCAGCGCAATAAACAAGTTCAAGAAGCAATAATAACATGAAAAATCATCTTGTCGAAATAATAAGTGATCTCTATCCTCCGCCGCATCATTACTATATTTCTTATGCTTTTATGATGTCATTATTTTACTGCTCGCGTGTGCGGATTATGTACAAGAGAGACCTGTCAATTAGTGATTAGTAACGCAAGTCTTGTGATGATGATGAGACGGAGTGACAAATAAGATTAATTCCCATGTCAAAGTAGAAATAATGGGTTTTCCATACCGATGATGATGCTTGTTTATGTAATTGTATGTGTTTGAGTTGGGGATAAAAACTGTAACAATTGGCGTCACTCCTTTTGGGAATTATTAGTGATTCCCAGATTTGGAAAAAATGACGTATGCAAACTCTGAATTTCCAGGATTTGGGGCTAATTTATGAAATAAAAGTGTATCAAATGGAGAGTTTTTTTACCTGCAATCCACAGAGTAGAATGGCTCATAGCTATCGCGGATATCTTTCCAGAGTTGACCATTGCACAATTTCCGAAAAAAATTCTATTCTTTTGGCTTGCTTATTAATTTCTTAAATTGTTGCTCTAACGTTGATCAATATTTTATTGAAATTCACTGATTTACAAAATTTTAAGTACTATCTGATTGTCTCTTGTGTCCCACACAAGCACCTGTGCCTGTACTGTAGCACGGCTTTGGATACCGTTTTATTTATAACGCGACCGTTTAGCTCAACGGGAGGGTGCTGTACTTCTACTCGTTGTTTATTATGTAGCAAATAACAACACTTTTACGACAAGAGAGCAATGAGGTAATTGACAATTCCTGGTACGTTCATACTCAAAAAGCTGAATGTTAACTTAATGATTCGAACGACTTTTAAAAGGATTAAGGCTTGAGACTCCTCACAAATGTGTGTATAACCTCATCTCCAAACCCACAAACAAATCGCAAAACAAGCAATCTTCACAAGCAAAACATTCAACAAAGGTATCGAGTTGTTCCTCTTGGATTCAATCAATACGAGTCACAAGTGCTTCTCGGTAGTACAAGTGTTTTGAGGGAGATTGAGATTATCTCATTCTTGTTTGGCCAACATTGTTGAGGTATTACGTATAAGTAAGTAAGCACTGTGCGTGGCATGATTTTGTGGCAGGCAGGATTTTTTACTGCCCTTCTTCTTGTAACAAACAAGATATTATTGTATAATATGTTATGATGAGTACCAGTGCCCAGCAGTCTCTGCAGATTTGGTGTGCAAATGAACTATGTGCATGAATATGACTTTAAGGACATTGGGTCACCGCGTGTGACGTCTTTACATGTAAAACTTGTAAAGAAAAGTTGATATTAAAAATAATCTCAATATTTTATCGCTGTCATCATTCAGTCTTTGTCTGATATTTTTTTGCTATTTTTTAAATATATTTTCAGTTTCTCGGAAGATTTTATTTCATGAATGGCAATAAAGCAAATAAAACTCATTCTTGTGTCTAATTGACTTAAAATCTTGGAAACAATGTTGCAGTGAATGCCTCCAAACCGCTTTGTTGTGTCGAAGCATTGATGTCTTCGAGTGGTCCGGCAAAGTGAATTCCATACTGATTTAGAATATTTCGGTTAGAGGCGTACGTGGTATCAGCCTGTCGGTTCAGATACGCTTGATAAGGACCTTGGCCATTTGACCCCAAATTTCGGTTTAGTTCGCCCAAATGACCTTCAATTAGAATAGCAGAAGAGTTAAGATCAGTACATAATCGTGGCCATAATGCTTATTTAATAAATCGTTCATACGGAGGAAAATTCCCTTGAATGCGATCTGATTGCAATCACAGCCCCCAGTGTGATCTCCGCATCCGACTTGGCCAGAATATTCACAAGGTTCAGTCAAGACTCCATTTCTTGTTAAAATTGGACTCTGCAGAACCGCATCTGCAATTGTAGTTGCTTCCGACAAATAGGTCGAATCATTCGTCGCCCTGTAGAGTTCGACCAACGCTCCGAGAATGACGCCCTGATTATATGTCCAAGTCGTATCCCTATTACTCGTGCAGTCGTCTCGGAGTCCATCATTGATCAAGCTTTCCTCATTGATCATTCCACTCTGCTTGAACCACTCCCAAATTTCGATCGCTTGGGCGAGGTATTTAGTATCGCCGGGAATTCGGTTGTGTAACGCGGCCGCGAGTTGGATGTACAATTCGTTCGTGATAGCGTTCTTGTACGTTCTGGCCGTGCTCCACCACACCCCTCCACCACAAACAGAGTCGACATATTGATAAATATAATCCGCATCAAACTGTGCCATTGCCAAATAAGTTTGATTCCCGGTAACGTCGTAGGCGTCAATCCAGGCAAGCGCCCACCACTCCGTGTCATCGAGAGCATCGCTGGTAAAATTTCCATCCCAACCGTCAAGGTTTTCGGTGTAGGCGGTTTCAATAACGTGAAAATGGGTTCGAGAATCTGGTTTAAAATTACATTATACATGTATTCGTTACGAATTAGTTCGTAGTATGTAATATTACGAGTAGCTAACAATGGAGGTCTCCCAGCGTATCTTCTCCAATATTTACTAAACTAGTGTCAATTGGTCACACATTTAATTATCTGTAGTATGCAATTTGCAAAAGGCAATGGTCACGCAGATCGTGCCTTTTGAAAATGTCATATTAATTAAATTTCTGATTGACCGGCACTTGTTTTGTAAAAATCGGAGAGCATACGCTGGGAAACCTCCATTGTAAGTATTAAATAATTTCAAAAATACTCCGGTACCTGTAAATTTCATATATTGTATGAGAGCTGTCAGCACATTCGCTCCGTTCCACCAACCCACCGTATGCCAGAGTTGACCATTAAAGTACTGCATCAAAGCTGTTGCTGCGGCGTCAATCCGCGTTTCCGAGTGTACATTGGATCTTGCCCACTCCGTACAGGTCAAAGGTCCAGGACTAGGATCAAGCCCTCGCCCGCACGCTCTTAACGCTCCAAGACCTTTAACAGCGTCGTAATCCACGTTGAACATGGTTGTCGTGGCATAATTCACTCCTTGCGGGATTGTCGTGAATCCTAACAGACTTCCGTTTTCCCAGCTCAGGCCGGCATCGAAGGAACGGTCCAACCAGACCTCGTCCCTTGCTGTCCCGTTAATAATTATGGCGAAACCCATGTTATCAGTGTCAGAGATGATGAGCCGTATTTCTCTCCCATTTATGGTCGAAGTGGCGACAACTCGGGCACCGTCGGACACCTCGGAAGCGTCCCTGTTGTCACAGTGGGTATTGCAAATATGTAAATTTTGGGCTTGTGATCCAACGAATAGGAGTAATGCCAGTAAGGGCAAAGTTATCAAACTGCTGTGCATGATGATTAATAAATTCGAAAATTTGAGTAAAGTCTCCGCCAGTTTGTTACTTGAACTCGGAGAGAATCAATTTTAAAGGAGAGTTATTTACACTAAAAACTCCTGTTACATAAATATGCAATATACTGTGAAACCGAGAACATGTAAATGCTGAGTGCAAAAAAAGGTGTAACTGCTTGACATCGTCCACTTATCTCTTATACATAAATAGGTTGACAAACAATTTAATTATCATGCATGTTGGACATGCTCTACAAAAGATAGATAAGTTGTGCTAATCTTAATTAAAATGTTAAAGCGACGTCATATTTAGTAGGGGTCCTTCATAATGTCAAAATCCTTATTAAGATGCCAATAGTCTTCAGTTCCAGGCAAAGGAATCTGATAGTCATCCATACTTTCGGGAAGGGTGTCGGGATAATCGGGATAAACTGGGCATGGTTTTGGCTTGGGTAATTCTGGATACCAACATGGGCACTCCATGTCAAAAATAACCTCTTGACCTAACCACGATGACCTTTCTGTGTGATCAATGACATCAAAGATGGTGAGTGGATGAATAAACACGGACAAGTTCCCATGATTTTGCGCCATAAAGGAGTGCGCAGCGTTGAAGGACGTGGCATTGCAGCACATTTCATACTGAGAAACTGGAAATGGTCCGTACCATCCGATGAAAATCTGGTCAAAATTATTTTTAAAATATGGAAAAGTTGTATGCATATTCCCAGAATTTAATTTGATTAGTATTTATTATACCTGGTTGAGAGAACACTCTGCCAATCTTCCATCATTGATCATTTCCCTCAGCTTCCTCCTGAAATATACACACAAAACTGGATTCAGACCAGAAATTGCTGTAATTTAATAGTATTTAGTTATTGTGTCTACCTAAAACTTAATGCTTCATCCACACTGGAATTTTTAACCTCGAAGAGAAAAGTATGTAAATGCCAGGCACCCACTTCCTCTTCGTAATATTGTCGCTCTTCTGTGAGAACGCTAGTACAAAATAAAATTACTAGACACGAGAAGATTAAAAGTTTCTCCATTTTTTAAAATTATTTTTTTAGGAAATGAATACACCCGAGTGACTACGATGTATGTAATGACGATCGAATTGACATCTTATCTGGTTTTATATTGAGTTGAAGAGTCAATCAGTATTGATAAAATGTGTTGTGATTTTTGATTAATTATTGTTATGTCATTATTATCATTCGACATTCAATTTATTCAATTAATGACGGCATCGGTGTAGTAATGACGAAAAGATGTCATTTGACATGCAGCTCTCGATGTCGTGATCATAACATGTCCCTATTACTGGAATATATAATATTAGATACAATTAAATAATTTAATGCAACTGTGATATGAGAATTAAATCATTTTTATTATTATAATACTCCGTTTGAAAATCATTTTAAACTTTAATATGAAAGGATGAAAATATCAAAACAGATTATAAATAATACTCGACTACTCGGAGGTATTTCATAAATCATTCCAAATCAGTAAATCATTAGAGGTTGCGAGATGAGTATTTATTTGGTGAGCAAATATGTATAAATACATACATATTCCTGTACCTACCTCAACCATGGGATGTCAATCTGCTGTTATCAGTTTATGCAACGCCACATTTCTAAGCGATCTGGTAAACAATATTGCCAACAACTAAACCATCCCAACCCAACCAGTCAAAGATGTTCCCAAAAAAAGTCTTTAAAGTCTTCAGTTTGGGACCATTAGACATAAGACACATCCGCTGAGCAAATTAATTGCATAAAACCCATGCTTGAATCAGAATGCTTTTTATAGATTTAGGAATCGGGGGGTGGGAAGTAAGCACATATAATTTCAACCGTCGACTACTCAGAATTCCCTTGGAATCTATAAATTATCTCAATCTAGATGCTACCGATAATTAGGTTGGAATATGACTCACAGGGAAATTTGCGCAGGTATAATTAGTACCCAGGAATGTGAGGTAAATACGCTCAGGTGCACATATATGTATTTAGGAATATGAGGAATAATCCAAATGACGTTGCCAGACATGACCAAGTGCGTAATATCTGTTTACTGTTCAGCGATTATTTGAGATTAGCTAAATCAACGATAAAATCATTTTGTTACAACTTGTTTATTTTATTTTAATAAAAGTGTCGGGAAGGAGGTCCAGTAGCCTAATCCCGAGTCATAATTCAATTTATAAACCCCATTGTCATGTCATTGTGTGTACTCAATGATGCAGGTGTTGGTTTAAGATACGATATAAATTGGGGTGTAGCATATTTCGATATCGACGGACGAGGGAGCTTGTAAAACTTGACATATCGTCTACTTGACTTTTGCTAAGTATAGATTCGTGCGTATGTATGTATGCAGATTTTAAATAGTCGCAATAAAAGTGGGTATTTTCGACACTGCTCTCGTCACACGTGACAAAGAAAAAGTGCATTGACGCATTTTGTCGTCGAATGCAGCCACTCAAGCCACTTTTACCAGGCTTGATCTTGTTAACCGCGATGCGATGCGATGCTTAACGTAAGGGGATGATTGCTTCAGACTAATTTTATGATGGGTACGCTACGTTTGGGACAATATTTTAATGAAGGTGGGATATGGATAAGTAATAAATTAACAGTGTCACACTGCTATATGCAAATGTACACATATCCTCGCAGCAATCATTTGGGGGATCTATAATTGGGGTGGTTTTTGTTACTTGGAGGTGGAGCGATGTAGAATTTTGTGCAATTAAAATTGGGACACATATCGAGCAGAAATTAACTAAACAGAGATTATCTCGTCGGCGCGTTGGTCACAACACGTCGTAATCGCTGACTTCATTGCCGTAATCAATCTTGAAATACTGTTTACGTACAGCTTATCTTCCGTTCATTGAATTTTGTAATGGCTCCTTGTTCTATTATCCGTCGTCGTCATAAAAGTTTGAGGGTGCATTTGCTGGTTAAATAAATTGGTCCAATTTCAGTAGAACAATATCATTTTGTGGGTGACACTAGTAGGAATCAGTCAAGTTAGGTATCCCACGCAGCATAATGAAGGCATCGTCCGCAGTGCTATTGACACTGGGTAAATTCATAAGGCTTGTCCTAATTGATATTCAGTTTGGGATTTTATATGTTTTACATATCTATTTCGTTATTTTAGCTAGTTTCGTGATTCAAGTTGCATACACGTATTGTCCAGGTCAAGTTTCTAACTCGTGTGAGAAAGGTGAGAAGATGAGAAGTTGATGAGGGGAAAACATTTTGATTTTGCTCTTCATAATTGTAATTATTTTAATAAATTGTTAAACTGTAGCATCTCCGTCAAAATCTCAACTTCCAGAATGGGCACATATTCATAACCATTTAACACAAAATCCTGCAACTGCAACTAATCAGGAAGGTATATATCAGATCGTATAGTATAAGAGGTCATCCATTTGCTCAATTTAACTATGGCGTAAATTTAGGATCTCTTAAATGTATGTGGTTCGAGTCCCTCGGCAGATAACCTGTAAATATTTATTAATGAATAATTAGGAATCCCCATGCCAAGTCTGGTCGCCTCCCAGGCAATTGGAACTCGAGGTCACATCCTTCTCCAGGATGCATTCCTACTCGAAAAGACTGCCAGTTTCAATCGAGAACGAATTCCTGAACGTGTTGTCCACGCCAAGGCTGCAGGTCAGTTTTATATGCAGCACCAGAAGAAAATTTAATTCGTAATTAAAGAAAATAAAATCTAAATTATCGGTGTAATATTTACGAAATTAAGGAGCGATGGGGTTTTTTGAAGTAACACACGACGTCAGTATGTTTACCAAGGCGAAACTCTTCAACAATATTGGTAAAAAGACAAACGTCGCTGTACGAATTTCCACCGTAGGTGGAGAATCAGGTTCCGGGGATACGTGGGTGGATCCAAAGGGATTTGCTACCAAGTTTTATACGGAGGAAGGAATTTATGATCTCGTCGGGAACAACATTGAAGTCTTCCCCATTCGAGATCCCATGCTATTTGCTGATTTAAACAGGTAACATAATCTTAATAATCTCACTAATATGATTTTTAAAAATTACCACAGTGCAGACTATTTTGAAATTTTCCCAGATCTCGCAAACGAAACCCAGCCACCCATTTACGTGACGCCACGATGTGGTTTGATTTTACTTCGCTTCGTCCCGAGTCTGCCCTCCACACCCTTCGCCTGTTCTCTGACGAAGGTTCTCCCAACGGCGTTCGCGTCATAAATGGTGCCGGAGTCCACACCTTTAAATGGGTCAACGCAACCAATAACCCAGTTTACATTAAATATCACTGGATTTCAAACCAACCCTGGGACTTCTTATCGAAAGAAGAAGCTACTCGATTAGCTGGAGTAAACCCTGACTACTCCATCCAAGACTTGTACGATGCCATCGCTCGAGAAGAGTACCCCTCGTGGGACCTGCATGTCCAAATTATGACCTTTGCTCAGGCCGATGCTCATCCTCAAAATCCCTTCGACATCACGAAACACTGGCGCCGAGAGGACTATCCTCTCATTCCGGTGGGAAAGATGACTCTAAATCAAAACCCGACTGATTACTTTTCTCAGGTTGAAATGGCTGCTTTCTCTCCGGCTAATATGGTCCCCGGAGGTAGAGTTATTTATTTATGTAAAAATTAATCCACAATTTCCTTATAATATTATCCTTGACATTCACAGTCGAGCCTTCTCCTGACCGTATGCTCCACGCCAGGATGTTCTCTTATCAGGATGCTCAGCGATACCGACTTGGGGTCAATTTTGCCCAATTGCCCATCAACCAGGCTACCTCTCGGGTGGAAAATTATATGAGGGATGGTCCCATGTGTTACAGTGATAATGGTGAAGGTAATTATCCATTGTATACATATTCTAAATACTGTGCAAGCAATAATTCAACTCTATTTGGTCATACAGGAGGACCAAATTACTTTCCTAACAGTTTCGGGGGGTTGGATGAAGGTGGGAGTGAAACGGACCAAACAGTTTTCCCTGCCACGGGGGACGTTGACCGGCTCGACACCGGGGATGACGACAATTTTAGCCAGTGCGTCCAATATTTGCAGTTGGACTTGAATTCCGAAGAGAAACAACGACTGGCGGATAACTTGGCGGCGCAGTTAGTAAACGCGGCTGAGCCGGTGCAACAAACGTTTTTGCAAAATGTGGCTTATAAAATTACTAAAGAATTTGGCGATTCGATTACCGTTGCTTTGCAAAATGTAAATAATCCTCCTACTACTACTAATCCTCCTACTACTACTAATCCTCCTACTACTACTAATCCTCCCACTACTATTTCTACTACTCCCTCAGGGGGGTCTAATTTAGCAAACACGACATGGATATTGGTCATAGTCATGGCATTATCAATATCGATAGGATATCAGCAGGGTTAACAATATTATTTAGGTTAAATTTTACAACAAGATTTCAACGTTATTAAAATAAAAATTAAAGAAAAGCCTTGATTTCATATTTACTTGCCTTCATAATTAACTACATAACTCAATTTAAACTTCATTTAAGCTTCGCCCATACAAATCTCACTTGATCGCATCAAATTAATCACGCAATGATCATCATTTACATCACAGGAGAAAACTTTCAGAAAAAAAACATGCAAAATCCTGTCTCAAAAAAAGTCACCTTTAAAAAACATACACTATAGTAAATCAAGTATAAAAAAACGCGACTTGCCGGCGTCAAGTTGCTGGACGAAGGTGCCATTAAGTCTGGACCACCACCACCAGCAATCTCACTAGCTTCGCTTGCCTTCCAGTAGCAAAGGCTTCCGACGCCTTAGTCGGCATCTTCTTGACACAACGCTCCTTCGGCCTCACTGCTTCTTTTCATCTTCCGGTAAGATTCTTCTCTTGACCTTTCATTTCTTCTCCGTTTTTCGACCAGGTTGGATGTGCGAGGAAGAGCTGCTCGTCCAGAAATTTTCATTCGTAGTTTAGTTTCTTTACTTTTAGTGGATTAATCGAGTTTCAAGGTAGCTTTCTCGTCAGATAATTAAAGTTGTTTTAGTAGGTCGTCTCTGCGAAAAGTGACTGATAAGCGAGGTTTGTTATATTCTCAAGGCGAAATTATGGCTTCGAATTTCAAGACCGAGGTTGAGGAAGAAGAAAGAGAACTTCCGGAAACTTTTTCTCGCTTCGTCGTTGGAGAGAATGCGGAACGTTTAGATGTAAGTTTTTATTTTACTTAAATTTTACTTGAAGTTTGTAGTTGTGAACTTAAATTGATGGTGAGTTGGAAGAAAAATGTATAATTTGTGGGTAGCATGAATTGGATTTGTCTTTTTGGGTGGACGCATTAAAAATCGTGTCCAACAAGTGAGATTTTATTTTTGTTTCTAGCCTTGCTCATCCGTGTTGGCGAAAGAACAACGAGATATGCAGAATATGGAGATGTTATTGGCGAAAACCTTTGAAGAACTTGGTGCTCTCGCCGACGCGACAGGAATGCCAATAATTCAGGAAAATGGGCAGAGAACATTTGGACCTCACCCAAATGACCTTCGGACACCAATGAGAGGTATGGAAATGCTCGTTATTAGTAATTTAAGTTTAAACTTTAAAGATAATAGATTGTGATATTTTGATATTTATTGAATTTTTTGTAGGAACTGAAATTTTTGTTGGAAAATTGCCAAAATATATGAACGAAGCTCATGTTTACAACGTGTTTCGACCTATCGGTGAAATTTATCAAATTCGTCTCATGTTGGATTTTAATGGACACAATCGGGGATTTTGTTTTGTTCAATTCTATCATAATGAAGATGCAAAACGTGCAATTGCAACTCTAAACCATTATGAGATTGCTGAAGGTGAGTGAAAAAAAGTTAAAATACCTTAATGAATAAATCAAATACTTTTTTCTCAATGTCCACCAGGTCGTCCAATCGGAGTCACTGGATCTGTTGACAACTGTAGATTGTTTCTTGGCGGTATTCCGAAGGATAAAAGTGAAGTGGAGATATTTACAGAACTTTCAAGAGTTACTGATAACTTGGTGCGCGTATTTTCCAAGACTAATAAAAGGTCGGAGACTGTGAACCGTGGATTTGCTTTCGCAGAGTATGTATCACACAAGTACGTACATAAATATTTACTATACAGTTAATTTTATTTGATTTTTACATAGTTTTACTGATTTTGATCTAATTATTTCTCAGAGATGCTGCAATGGCTCGCCGGAAGATGATCCCTGGAAAAATTTTAATGTGGGGTAAGCTTGTTCATGTCGATTGGGCGGAACCCGAACATCCAGAGACAGTCAACCGAAACTACGGGCTTTCGAAAACGGTTCAACAACGAACGAATGGAAAGTTTTACAACTTCTTCGACGTATTGGTGCCAATGGACCCGATGGCACCGATGAATCACATGGTGCATATGGATCCGATGGCGTCGATGAATCACATGGTGCCGATAAAGCCTGATTATGGAATGCAAGGAAACTTGGCATGCTTTCCGAATCCCTTTAATTTTGTATAAAATCTACACAAATTATATATATCTATTTTTATACCCCAACCTCATAGATTCATAACATAATTGCGTCCGTAGTATTTGCATTATGCATGAATTAAAACATTTGGCCAAAACTAGGGAACCTTTGTTACTATAATATGAACAATATAATTGTATAATATGAATGTGAGCACGAATATGAATTTTCAAAGTTATAATAAATACTGTTTTGTTTGTAAAATGTGAAGCGAAAAATGTAACATATTTCATTATACTATCCACTAACCAGGAGAAGAAAATGAGAAATAGCTAATTTACGAGTCCATTTATTTCCTTACAACAGCCGCACTAACGCTATAAAGCATTTTAGTTCCTACATAAAGTGATAACCGGCCGACTTTACATTGCATTCGTCTTCCCTTAAACTTTTAAGTGGGGGCAAACAAGATCATTTTTCATGTCCCGATAAATTCATTCGTTTGATACATTGCATAAGCGAACAATGCTGAAAATGCTTTTAACTCGTTTAATTAATTATTTATGACTTTTATTTCATCCCTCTCGCCTCTCCACACGGAATTCTTTAGCCCATTCTTCAGCACATGCAGGCTGAATAGAATACTTGTAAAATTGAAATTCTTCTTTGTCCATGCAAAGAGTGTGAGATTTAGGAATCTGCTTTTAAAGGGTCTATACACCCGGTTTTGATTGAGCAATATGCATGATACCAAAAAATGCTTGACATTCAACTAATGATTTTATTTACCATTGTGGTTTGGTTTTACACCACCAAACTTTCGGCAGCTGCAGATGTTACATTTGACATTGCCGAAATATTTCGGTAATTAATGGATTAATCCAGTGTCTAATACCCGTATTGCTGCAAATTTAATAAGAATTTCTCATTTTTTGCATGTGATACATTTCCTGTTATGTTTTGCGTGTTTTTTCACTTCACAAACGTAGTGAATGAATTATTTCGACTTTCGACACGACACAGTACACATGAGAAATGCGCTTGTATTCAGTTAAAGTGTGTGAACTTATTGTTGTCATAAAAGCAAGTGTTTATTCAGAAAGAACAGAGACAGGTGCGAGTAAGTGCCCAGAAATTTCAATTGACACGAGAGCTAATTCACCCGAGGAGACACAATGGAGGGGCTTTCAATAAAATACTTCACACCAATATTCACAAGGAGTCCAATCGAGGAAGAAATCGATTATTACCTTCATGTCATCGTATGAAATCTAGTAAACCAATCTGAAAAGTGAGGGTCAAACATTGCCGAATTTGTCACTTGTATATCTCAGAGAGTAGCGGAAAGGGTTGGATGGATGGCGTAGGTGTTGGCGTAGCGTTGCTGTATGCAGTTCATCCATCTTTAATGCATACGTTTTTATATTGTAACTAATTTTTCTCTGCAGAATGATTCCACATTTTCAGATTAGAAATAAAATTATGAAAAAAAACAAGTTAGCATCATGTCAGTTGTTAGTGGGCAAATTATCGCTCTGCGCCAACCGACCACTTAATGGCGGAATCGTCACGCCCGACCGGAAAAGAGTTGTGGAGGAATAAATACTATGAAACCTGGTACAATGCACAATTTATTGTTCTGTTATATCGGGGTGAAAGAAGCAGCTAAAAGAGGACGAGGCAGAGAGAGAGAGGACAAAAGAACTTGACTAGAGTCCATTAATACATAATAATACCAAGTCTGTCTGCATATCTATCAGAAACAGACAACCAAAAGTCGTTCAAAATTCTAATTCAAACGCAAAACTCTTGAAACGAATTGCCTGTTTCTTCTCACTCCTTAACACCCCTTTTATGCACTATCTTCTACCACTACTTAGTTCACAATGAGACACAATGCAACTACAACTATGGCCAACTTCACTTCAAAAACCATTCATCATCATAATATTTAAGTGCTAAAATTCACCAGGGTCCAGTTACAAGCACCAGAAAATGATGCCAAGACACACACCAAGTTTCCAAACAAGTCGAAATAAAGAATGGTCGTGACATTTTTTTAATACGCCGGAAATGCATTCCAGTTTCGCGAAAGTGTGGTCACATAGTTAATTCGAGATCCCCAAAGTACAATTTCTTTTCGTCATTGTCACCACCACCTCCTCGAAATGCTTTCACCCATCGTCTTCGTCGTCGTTGCTTTGCAAAGCCAATTCGAACATTTTGTTGGATTGAATTGTGGAACAACAATATTTCGTCCATTGTGGAACATAATGGTGAATCCAATCCATCTTTTGCAAAAGTGTATGTTATTGTCAACTCTGAATGGGAACCCTTTAGAACCTTTAGAGAACTCTCATTTTTGAGAGCTCATGTAAAATGGAAGAGCTAATCCGACCAACATCATGTCAATTGTCATTTTCACACTGTCGACTCCCCATTGTCCTTCCCTCTCTCTGACAGGACAGCACAGAACAGAACAGACTTCTTCGATTTTGCTTTAGCTTTGGTCGTATTCACCGATTATTATTATATGAACGAAACTAGACTACACCCTCTCACTATTCAGACACACAATGCCCTTCTCATTTATAATTGAGAAGTGTGAAAATTAAAATCCATTCGAAGTTTCTTGTACGTAGTTTCGGTCCCTGTCCTTGTTTTTGAGTGAATAATGCGGATAAAATATACGAGGTGTTGTGAATCGATGTACTTATTATTATTATTAAATTAATATGGGATTAGACCACAGCTTGCAGATTGAGATAATATAATTATCGTTTTTGGAGGTGAGGCTGTTAAGATAAGAACTTTCTTTTGGTGGGATTTTCTACCACCACCACGACCCAATATTATCCTTAGAAAGGGTGTAATTCAGCTCAGAATTCGATGCCACTTTCCCTCTCCTGTTTTCTTTTTCTTCTTTTTCTTATCCGCTTATTCTCCCCGTCATTCCAGTCGAAGGAGCCATTGGCTTAAGAATTGGCTATATTTCATGTTAAACAAATCCTTATCCATCACATAGTGGCGAAACTGATGAACTCGGTGGGGTAAAAAGTTCACGAGTTTCGGTGGGAATTTTGAATTATTTGCAAAAAACTGCAAAACTCATCTTGAGTTGTTTACATTTTTAGTGGTTTCCAGTGGGAAGAGTGTGTGGTGGTGGCTTCCCGCCACACATACTCTATGACGAGTTGCGACTAATCTCAAAAAGTAGTACAATTTTTACATCATTTTTCACTTTGCGGGTTTCAATGTACACGCATAAGTTTGAAATTTTCAGAATATAGCTGTCAATAGTTTTGCAACAAATTACCATTCATCGATAAGCAATTGTGATTGTAGTTTTATTTATATTAATCAATATTTGTGCAAATTTCGGTAATATTGAGATTATTGATTAATATAAATAAATCTACAATCACAATTGCTTATCGATGAATGGTAATTTGTTGCAAAACTATTAATAATTATATTGTGAAAATTTCAAATTTTTGCGTGCACTTTGAAACTCTCAAAGTGAAAAATACGGTCAGAGTTCTGGACTCATGCGTAGTATAGAGAGGAAATGCAGAGCGAGAGCGAGGAGATAAAATATCACGCAGGCTTAAGTACACAAGCATAAAGGTTGAGCCACCAAAGAATTTTTAATATGCATTCTCCATTCTCACCTCTTTTCATTCTTGAACCAACAGTGCCCATTATGCTGGTCGCCTCGATGTGACATTTGCATATCTGGGGTACAATGCAAGGGGGAACAGTTCGCATTCCAACAATGAGAGCAATATTTTTCCAGGCAGGCCCATAATGTTTTCTTGTGGGCACAATGCCAACAATGGACACTGAAGGAGGAAATGATGGCTCGTATAAAATTCCATTTTTACATAAATCTTATATGCATGCAGCTAATTTTAGTGGCTGGCGAGGAAAGTATGTAGACATTTAGATATCCAATGTATGTACGTATGTGGTGGAGAAAAATTACGATTTTGTGGGGCCAATATTGCAAAATGCCAACTTATCCGTAGTCAGACAATCTTCTTTAAGTAATTGATTTAAACTTTATGTTGTTAAGAATAATGATCATGTTGATCGTAGTGGAGCGTTCGGAAATACATGGTATATAAATATTTCGGAGACTGCATACAATTATTATACATATTTGTATCATCTGGTAATGTCAACTGTCAATCATATGTTGCAATACTACTTTAATTGTTTATCGCTACTGGAATTTTTGTTTTCATGTAATTTCGAGTTTCCCAGTTCGAGTATCGCTCTACGAATTGAATTTTACAAAGATGGATTATTCTACTAATGGATGAATGATAAACAATCTGGAATCAATTAATTGATTGCACACAGAGCTGGGATAATCCTGATTAAGGATTATGGATTTTAATCCCGGATTATGGATTATTAATCCATAATCCCTAATCCGACAATGAGAGTTTTTTGTAGATTAATCCCAATCCATAATCCAGATTTTTCTGGAATTTGAATTAATCCGGGAATAATCCCATTAGATGTCATTAATCCGTAATCGTGATTACGGATTACTAATCCTGATTAATCCCAATCATGACTACTAATCATGATTATTAATCCCGATTAATCCCAATCATGATTACTAATCATGATTAGGTATTCATGATTAATTCTCAATCTGGATTACTCAGTTCAATTCCCGTAGTTCTATTTCATCCCACTGTGTAGCTTGAAGTCTCAAGTTCTCACAACTTTGTCCTGTCGGCTACCATTTGAAGAGTTAACATGTTTTTGCTGCCTTGTGCTACATATATCAATTGAAACTGGCGTTTTAAATATTTTATGTGAAACCACATAGTTTAAATTTTTTGGGCTAGATATATCTGTAGGTAGTGTAAAAATCATTAATCACCAAAATAATCCGGATTATTAATCCATAATCCATAATCCTGAAATTTCCAGAATTCATGGATTAATCCGGATTAATCCTGACATGAATTAATCTGACGAAAATAATTTAATCACAATCCACATTATTTTGTGGTTAATCCATAATCCTTAATCCACCCTCAAAAACGAATAATCACCCAGCTCTGATTGCACAACATTCAGGAGTGGAGTAGATAAGAACTTCTTATATTAATACATCATTGACATTATATAAAATTGATGACGATGACGAAATTCTTTCAGGTTTTCACGGACAGAATTTCGTTATTGTCATTAATCAGTACTTGAGTACGTGCTCATAATTACGTAAAAGTTCGGTAAACTCAGATAAGAAAATTGAGATATTGATTGATCGCTTGTCACATTCACACGTACTCATATAAAATGATTAGGTATAAGGTCACTCCGTCTTAGTCCGATACAGTTAATTGTGCCAAGTTGTGGGGTAAATTATCCAAAATGACGCCAATTAAAGTTGTTCTGATTCTTTCGCTTATAGCCTCCGCCGTTGTTGGGCGTCCATCTCAAGATGAAAAGCGTCTCATAAAAATCAGCCCGGAAGATTCCGGGACATGGCTCACTGAAGACGAGATATTTTCTCTGATTAGAAAAAATATCAACTTTATCGACATCACGGGCAGAGTTTTCCCAACCGATGTTCACAAAGCTTCCACAACAGGTATTGCAAAATATTTTGTGCACAATGAGTTTTTTTGTGACTATTTCGAATATTGTGCATCAACCACCCAACCCGACCTTCTTTACCCCACGGGTCAACCAAATTGATATGGTCTAAAAACTCAAAAACTGCTCTTATTATTTTCAGAAATCCCTGTAAGCCTTCGCTTTCAGTCAACCATTGTTCCAGCCCTCGCTAGGGTCAACATTTCACGCATGCAAGCATTCGTGGACGCCTTTGACAACTTTACCAACCGATATTACCTCTCAGCAACTGGAGTCGATTCGTCTGACTGGCTTCTTGCTCAAGTTTCTGACAGCATTGCCAACACAAATTATAACGGGACTGCGGTGGCAAATTCTTTTTTGCACAGTTGGCCACAGAACAGTGTTATCGCCCGGATTGAAGGTTCCGATCCAGAACTTAGGCAAGAAGTAATCATTTTTGGGGCTCACATGGACTCAATCAACGGCCTAAACCCATCAGGCCCATCACCCGGGTCGGATGATAATGCAAGTGGTAGCGTCACACTTTTAGAAGCTTTACGAGTAATTCTAGAAAGCGGGATCGTTCCAAAGAGGTCAATTGAATTTCAATGGTACGCCGCGGAAGAGGTGGGACTTCGCGGATCTGGAGACATTGCTCAATCATATTTCACCGGAGGAAAAAACGTCGTGGGAATGGTTAATTTTGACGTAGTTGGATACCAAGCTGGTGCCAACGAGATAACGTTTCTCTCTGATAACACTGACGCAACGTTGACAACATTCCTCAAATTGGTGACAGATGAATACTGCACTTATCCATGGGTCAGTGACGTTTGTGGGTATGCTTGCTCGGACCATGCTTCATTTAATCAGTACGGATTTCGTGCAGCCTGTTCGAGCGAACGTCCTTTAAATCCTTACATGCACACCACGTCGGATACGATGAGCAGAATGAGCTTTCCGCAGATTGCAGAATTTGTCAAAATGACGGTGGGAGCTGCGATTGAAATTGCAGAGCCCACAACTGTGTAAATTTTTGGAAATTTAAAATCAATTATGAAATAAATATTTAAAATCCGTAGTTAAAAAAAGCATGATGTTCCCAATCAACCAGTTCTTTCTTTCATATGCATATGGGCATTGGATCAAGGAAATTTGAGACGATAAATTTTAAATCATTGTCAAATCAGGTATATTTCTAGCATTTTTCAATCCTTTGGACGGGTCAATAGTCTTCTGACGAGTTTTATTTCTAGGACTCAACTTAAGTATGTAAATGTTATGCCGGTGCATTGAATATTCACCCAAACTAAAGTAGTTGGCTATGTAGAAAGTGGGGAAATGAAGAAGAATACGAAAGACGGAATAAATGGCTTCCGGTAGATCTTAAGAATACGCGAGGCAGGCAGTCCATGGACAACAATGGAGATGGACAGCACCAGCAGAAATGGAATGACTGCAACTGGTGATAAAGAGAAGAATCGGCCCAGTGGACAATTGAATCGAAGAATGCTGAATTGAGTGAATAGTGTGTGGTGCGGATCCGGTCAGGTCAATATAATGCGAAGCAATGACCAAGGTTCCTTTTTCCTACAAAGTAAATATACAGCATTGTCGAAATACATACATACTTGCAAAGAGAGAGAGAGTTAAAAGAGGTAAATCGGAATCGCCTGTCATAGAATCAAATTGAAAAGCATACTGCCCATGTTGCTCTTCTGATAACCCATCAAGTTGGCTGATGAACCCAGGGATTGGCGTGGAGTGACCATCCATCACAAAAGTCTAGAATTTTCACGATATTTTGTCAAATTTCATAACTATGAAGTTTTCAAAATATCCAAATCTTTATAAATTCTTATCAATAATTTTAATATTCAAGTATCATAGAATTTGTTTCCTCCCCGTACTGCCTACAAATTGCTGGAATTTTACATCATTCCCATCTGACGACACGACCATAAATACGAATGTGCAAATATCCAGGGTGGGTATTAAATACTTTTGCTTTCTCAAAGAATTTTTTCTTCTTCTATGAACGGCTTGCTTTCCATGCTAAAATCCTGCCTTGCTTTCTCTTCCCAACCTTGAAGGACTGACTGCAAATGCATGAGAAATTTGGTGAACAAGGATAAAAATGGACCATTGTCAAAGTTGGATCCATTTCACCATATATTTTTATTCCGCCCGTCTAGCTGACTATGTTCGGGGAGCTGTGTGGTGAGTGTTCCAAGTGGAGGGAGGAAGGCACTGCGGAAATTCGGAGTTTTGAGGAGACATCCGGGACGTTTAGTTGTCGGATAAAAGCACCCGTTTCCTCTCTCTCTCAGCTATCTATCCAAATGTCCTTGGAAGTCGAACTACGACTTGTCTTAAGTTATGCAACAAGAGTATACTTTGGCTGGATATTTATTATTAATCGGTGCTATGTACATAGTTTCTTGTGCAAAATCAGGCAGAATTTGTCACTGCTTTCACCATTACATACAGGATAATTTTACTCCAAAATAAACAACCCCCCGATAATTCTGCCCTCAAAGATACACTGCCATACTCCATGATCTACTCATTACTATGGATCAAAAGCCATTAAAAGAATCAGAATAAAAAGTCAAAGGTCCATTAACGTTTTTTTTTATTTATTGCTCTGATCGCGTTTTTTACTTACTGCGTCCCCATATAAAAGTAGTAGGTACATCGTGGCAGCTTCCCCCGCCGAACAGAAAAGAACACAACATCGAGGAACTCGCTGTTCTGTTCTGTTCTGTTCCATGGCATTATTATTGTTGCCATTGTTGCCTCTCTCCCTCAATGTTTTGTGTTCCTCCACCAAACCATTCATGTTGTGTGTTGTTCCGTTGGACGTGTTTCATCAACATGAGAATGGATAGGAAGAGTGCTTTCCCATCATCATCATCTCCATCCCTTTCACCAAGCAATGCAAAGTTGGCATACTTTCCATCCGCTCATTGTGTGCTCGTCTATTAATAAAAAGCAATAGGAAATACATAGTTAGCTACTGTTAGAGAGTCGAAATATTGCTTACCACCACTACTCGAATAATAATTCATTCACTCACTTGTACATAAACATAGTCGCATTTCGGATTGGAGACTGCGGTGAAAGCATTGCATAATTTAGGTGATGACGACGCCACAGCAATTTTTCGTTGTTTCTGGTTATCATTATTTGCAAATTCACGACTCGGGTTACCTTAATCAATAAACCAAAAATATATACGTATGTATTGATGACATATTCGCCCCCTTCAACTTTTTTACTTGGTTCGATCTCCCCCAAAATCCGCCACTGTCGTCTTGCCCTCCTTCGTTATGATCATTCACTTGGATTCCCGTAAGCTGGATGGACGAAAGTGAATGCAGGAGAGGGATTTCCTATTGTTGCTGCTCCCCGTGTTCTCCTATTCTTCACGTCATTGAGAGGATGACAATTGAGATGGAGAGAGTTGGCGTTGGGATTGCGTGGGGTGAGTGAGTGAAGTACATAGTAGTCTCTTGTCTCTTTAACCTTTCTCCATTCAACCCCTGATCCAACCTTGGTTCCCGTTGTGATCAAAATCGTTGCTCGTGGTAAAAAAGAGTGACGGTATGAGGGCAATGTGTAGGAAAAATGATAGGTCAAGGTTAAAGGTCAACTTTACTTGAGAAGAATTCTTGTTGAGTGAGATATTTCAGCTTTAGAAAGTACCGCTCACCAGTCAGCACCACCGTTTCGTTGACGAACCGGAAGTCAAGAACACGGGAAAGTTTTTAAGTACCATCATCATTGTCCTGTCGATAAACGGGGTTCACTTATTCCGTTGTTTTCCATTAGTTTTTTAGCCTTCGACACAAATAAATAGTCACGATTTGAATAAGTTGGCCATAAATATTGTTAATAAGGTCAGTCGGATTTCCCTTACAGCTTCCTCTTTCTTCTCTCAGCACAGTTGGTTGGTAAACTGCTCGTGTCTCTTTTTTGATCTCTTTATCAATCAGTGAACCTTGGCTTGAACGTTTTGTTTACTTTGACTAAAAAACACATAAAAAGCTGTTTATTGTCAGACTCCCTTTCATTCGAGAGGAAAAAAACAATTTATTTTGTTTGTGTCATTATTCATTCGACAACTCAACGCTGTACATAAATACGTATACGTACATACAAAATTAATGGATTATGGCTGAGATTCATTTTATTATCTCTTTTATTAACGAAGAATTGAGCTATGTTTTGTATAATTTATTGGCATTTGCCCCAGAGTCAAATTATAAACTGAACGGCTTTATTTGTCCTGGTAAAGAAAAATGTAATAGATATGGCAGTGGTCATATAAATATGTATCATCGTCCACAAATGAAGACTCGTATGACTCCATCTTGAATTTTGGTGAAAAGCCATTAGCCTTTCTTTCGCCTATTGTGAGGCATGTTTTTCTCACTGCTGCTAATTACGAAAATGATTAATGATCCGTGTTGCTTGGCACGGCCCTTGTAAGATCGAAGCGAACGATGATCGGTTGTGTTTTTGTGCGTAGCCAGTGGCAGTTCTATACAGTAATCAGTAATAAATAGTATTACGACTGAAACATAGAGGTTGGTCTCTTACCGATATTAGCCTCATTTTACTAATTAGCTAACACTTACTGAAATTCTGAGCGTAAATTACTTAAAAAAATAATGAATGAATTAATTGATTGATTCACGAACTGATTTTCTTATAAATTCGGAATCGTCAGTATTTTCTGTCACTTCAAAATTTTATAAATTTTATGTCCCCACCAAAAAACGAATGCATGCAAAATTGGTAGCTGTTCCGAATTCGACGTAATACAGCAATATCCATCCACCGCGCAGTGAAAGCAAATCAACCAGTCATTGTTCCTCCCATACACCTCCTCACTATTGGTTATTATTCAGAATGTCAAGTTGCTAATGACCATCGCATCCTACCCAGTATGCTCTGCACTATTGCTGAAAATAATGCGTAAACGGTTGAATAGGTCCATTCTCTCCGCAGATTAAAGTTTGGCCGTCATGCTGTTTTTGTTTTGATTGTTTTGGACCTGCTTCCCTCTTTGTCTTGGTCACAGGCAGGCAGACAGGCTTAAATTTCTACAACAAAGTCGGAGCATTTGTCCCCATTATTATTTTGCCTCTTTTGGACCATCCTCCACAATCAGATGGTCAATTAGCAGAAGTTAAATCTGGTATAATTTCACAACAATTATACAAAAAAAACAATTCCTGTTAATACAGACACACGTGGACCTGCTTATTTTCTAGTTCTCTTTGAGGAAGTGCTGCAGACTACACGTCATCATACATCTTATTCGCCTAATGAAGAAGGAGTTTGCATTTATGGCATGATGGTCACTCTCACAATCAGCCTCACACTTCTCATAATAGAATTGATTGACTTGTTAGACCTGCCCAGTGGATTTATCAAACCTTTTTTTCCACAATTTCTATCACCTCAAATACATAGCACAACTAATTGCATTGACGACGACAACTCAGGTACGATTAACAAGTGGAATTAATCGCATTCATTTATAGGAAGAGACGATTCAAAAGGAAAAGGCAGGCAGAGACTTGGCCATTGGGCGGAAAATTATAATTAATCGTTTGCCTTCTCTTTATTAGGTGGTTGGCAGAATTGAACTGACATTGCGTATCTATTATGCCTCTAAAATAACAATAATCAATGCAGTTATGTGGTTATTCAATCTTGTGAGTTGACTTGTGCTATCATCATTTCAGTCCAATCGACACTTTCAAACGAAGAATAAAGGACGGGTGGTGACGGGTTAAAAGAATTGCTGCTAATTAATTTCATTCAACTAGTAAAGCACGAATCAAGCAGACGTGGTTTTCACCAAACGTATGTACGTCGTCAGCACATCACGTCACTTGTGACATGATCAAGATGTTCAAGTAAAAATTACGATTGGAATATGTATACTTCAACAAAAACAACCATGTTCAAATATTATTTGGATGCATTATTTCATAAATTTTACTGGATGAGAGGGTGGACACATTCGCTTGTTTATAAAAAAATATGATAAGCAATACTTCCAAAATATTGGTGGCTGGCAGCATGTGCACCCAATTCCAGCAGGACTTTCTTCCATCACACCCGCAGTGAATTATGACGATAAAGGAATTACAAACAGTCGTTGTCATCGAATTGGGAGTTCATAGCAAGTTTAGTTTATCTGGTTGGGTGCCCGTCTCCTGTTTTCTATTCTCTCGGCTTAAATCGTTTTTCATGTCTCACTGACTTCCTTTTTACTCAAGTTTCCAAAATTTAATCCCTCCTTTGTTCATCCTCCAATTCCCTCTTTACCAACACAATCAACATGAGACACAAACTGTTCGCTGTTGCTGTTGCAAATACTCTGCAAAGTCCGGTCGTCCCCATTGTCCCCCCGCTTCGTGTCCCTCAATAATATGGGAAGAATGAGGGGTAAATGCGGTAACAATATTGTGCACTCACTTTTGTAACTCTATTACTCCCGATGCACAAGCACAAAAAGGATATATGAAATAACTCAAGTCTTACCATTCTCCCATTTTTAAGATGGAATTGTATACAAATTAAGCCTATTTTCTTTAAAAAAATATTAATTTCATCGGCACCATTTCATAGTGAGGGAGGAGATGTGATACTGTATGAGAGACGTCTAAGAAATGTCACTCTCCACCCCGTCCAAAATTCTATTGTACTGACAAGCCTGATTTTTGCCGAAATCTTCTTACTACACAAAAGAACCAATGGGTTCGTTCCTACACGGTAGGAAATAATTTAAATTTCTCCATTTTCTTAAGAATTTCAAGCAGACTTTAGGTTTTCTTTTAGGCAGAAAGACTTTAATCCCCTGAAAGAGACATGCAGAGCAAATATATATTCACATGTATGTACATACGCTACATCTTTGTCTCAAATTGTACACCGGCACTTGCATCGGTGTCGTAGAGTGGTTTGTCTTTGTGGGATTGAGAAGCTCGGCCAGATTACGCTGCATAATAAAAGTAGCTGCGTGCTATGTAGTAAAGGAAAATAGGGAAAGAAAGGAATAAGAAATAAATCCAATTGTTCAACTGCTCAATCCAATGAGAAAAATTATTTGTTACAAACTTTTGGAACAAACAACTCCTCAGCTTAAAAAGAAAGGAAGAAAAAGGAACAAGAGACAAAACACAGGTGTTAGTTTTCATTTGTTTAAAGTTTTAAAGGCTTCAACTTTATTGTTATTGTTATTGCTTGCATGGCAGAGTTGAGAGAATAAATAAGAAGGAATACATGGACCGCATTTCAAGAGGACATTATAACGTTCAAAAATGATTGATCAACTTGGTAATGCTCCAAGTTTTTTATGTAGTGACAATGTTGTACGGAGTGCATGTTGCAATTGTAATGATAAATTTACTCGTTCTATTTGAGGACGAGGAATTACGTGCACGGTAAAATTATCAAGATGCATTTATTATGCGATCTCTGAGCTACGTATGTAAAAATAAGTCTTCCAATTAAAGCGCATCATAATGAGAAAGGTTTAAAGTATCGGTGCATAAGCGTTACAGTCGTTTTTTTGTTGGATTCTCAGCAGACTTTGAGACGACGATGGATGGTATTTATCAGGCCTAGAGTGACGCTATGTTTTGGATACATACATATGTATTGAACACCTCACTTTGACCTTCTGACTTTGAAATTGTATGCGTACAGATGAGAAAATTCCCCTGAGAAGTGGTATATGTACGTAAGTAAGGCATTTCATTTTGTGTGTATTTTTTTAAATCAATCTATCTTGAAAAAATAAGTAAGATTATATCTGAAAGATAAATAATTCTAGTACAGATATGTAGTACATATGCATAAATATGCTACGTGAATGGCAAAAACCAAGTTTCATTCACGCGAATTTTTGTCCACCGTATTTTTAGCAACAGAAATCTGTTTCGTTTCCAGATAAAAAAATAAACAATGTAACCTTTCCACCACTTACTAGCATTTTACCGTCGGATGAGCTTCTCGTATTGCTTGACAACATTTGCTTATTCTTTCACCAGAAGCTAATCTTACACCTCTCACTTAAAAAAATCAAAGTAATTTCTACTTTCAATTACAATATATTTGCATGTTACACTATTCATAATGGTGGAAACTTGTTGCTGCGGTTGTTGCACGGTCGCGCAAGGAACTGCGATCATTGCCGTATTGGACATTGTAAAAAGCATCCACTCTAATAAAGCGTTAGTGTTAAGTCGCTGACTGAGTCCCTGTGGCTCTCAATGCAAGTTGCCCCGTAGAGGAGACAAAGAGGGAAAAAATTTATTTTTGCATAAATTTTCATACTGCATGAGTCTCACTTCGCCTGCACGTGACTTTCACGTACGTTCACTTGCCATCAAGCTCAAATTAAATGTTTTAATATATAAACACAGTGTGCAAGTAAATTGAGTGTGCAGTATACATACATACATCACATCACTCATCAATAGTGGTTATCATGATAATGGATCTTAATAAACACTATTAATTAATTATTTTAGTTTGAGAAACTCCACCCACAGCGAGTGGCATATCAATTCGAATGTATTTTTGACGCTGAATCCAACGCCGTCAATAGTTTTGACCTGCGAGGCCCTCGTGACCTTGCCGTGACCGTGGGGGCTAAATATGGCTTATTCGTGATGTCGCATATCAATTCGAATGTATTTTTGACGCTGAATCCGAATCCGTCAATAGCTTGGCGTTAATTGTAGGAGTTAACGGGGTTTATGGAACTTAACGGGAGCGTGAAGCGGGGGAATTTAAATAGTTAGCTATGCAGTTACTCCCACGCGACGGGAATTTAAGTAATTAGCCATTCAACTACTCCCACAGGGGGAAATCAAATTGTACTGTGACCAGATTAATTAAAATGCAGTTGACCTGGGCAAACCCTCACTCTGATGTGTGTATTTGGTATGACAAAGTCTCCACTGGGAATTATTTAAAGTATAGTATGACGGATTTTTCGCTTTGGGCACACCCCCCACTGGAACCCTAGAACCCGGCCTTGGCCGGGCTAAACGCTAGTTAACAATATTTTTTTATTAGGTTTCATTTTCATTTTGTCAACAAATATATTACAGATTTTTGGTATTATCAAAATTGTGTCGGGGGGTTTCACAGCTTTCCTCATGATATCGCAAAGTGAAACAATTTCTGAAAAGGAATATCCCGGCTTTAATAATTACCGTAAGATTTGCGGTTTCTTCTCAACTGGGTAACAAATTTAGTAAATTTACTATGTATGTATATAGGCGCTGGATACATCACGTTTGAACTTGGTAGTGTGTTTATGGCGTTAATGTACTTCATCGTATCCTTCCTGCTATTCCAGGGATATAGAACGGTCCGTTCTAATACCAAATAACGCAAATTTAAAGGCTAAATTGTTTTAATAATATTTAATTCTAGGAAAATCCACGTCTTTGCAAACCATGGCTGTACTGGAATTATTTCTCTCTCGGACTTTTCGTCTCTTCAGGACTGATTGTTTTTCTCGTCCTGGCGTTTCGTGCCTTATTCCTTGAGGGATTGCTATTGATACTTATCATGGGCATGATTTTCTCCATTTTGCTGTACTTTGTGTTTGTCGTGCAAAGATTTGTAACGGAAATTACTGAGTGAAGATCGGCATAAAAGTACATTCGTAATGTTTACTGTTTACTGAAATTTATTAAAATGTCGCAAATCATCAGAAAAAAATCTGCTTTTCAGATCAAGACACGTGTCCATACTGCGCTTAATCCTGTTAATACGCATTCAGATGAGAAATATGCATAGACAAAACTTTTTTAAATTTAAACAATAATTTTCTGCACTAACAATTCCTTGCAAAGATTACATTTACCACAATTGTTAATTACTAAAAGAATTAAAATACAACTTTTAATCTTCACAAATTGTGTGCTCAATGCGTTTTATTTTTACCACTTTTATATATTGTCATACTCTCAAAACTTGGTGCAACAGCATAATAAATAATTGCAACGTCATTATCTACATGAAAAGATAAACCGTAAATTTGAAACAGAATTAAACAAAAAATTTAAAAATTTAAAACTATATGTCGTAACTTAAGTACAAAAAATCCCGAAGAAATGCAAAATTGCCCTGTTTCACAGATTACACATGCTGGAAATATACCCCCAAATTATGTGCATGTAAAATGTAGAAAGAACAAAATTAAATAAAAACATTCAATCAACTTCTTTAATCGGTTGGCTTAATAAATGGGAAAGCCACCCCGTAGAAATGAAATATTTCTTCAAATTTCATCCCACCCAACCCTTCTTCGCACACCAAAAAACTACAAAGTTTTTAGGGAACAATTGTTCCGGATGGAGACAAAAGGTGCAAATGGAATGGGACAATTTTCTTGAGATTTATTTTTCTTCTTTTCCTTAGTTCTCGCCCAGTAGTTGTCTCTCTTTCTCTCTCGTCCATTATCCAAATTCACTCCTGGACTCGTCACTCAATTCTTCCCTCAGTCTGACTGAGTGAAGTCGAATGCTCAAATTAAAAGTAATGAAGAAAGAAGAAGAAGAAGCAAAAGGAGAAGATTGAATTTTGAGAATAAAGGCCTTCTTCTCTTTTTTCTTAATTATTTCTCCAAGAAAGGCCGATTCTTCGGAAAAACGAAGAAGAAGAAGGAATGAAACGAAACTACAATCCAGGAAAGAATTAGAGTTTTCATAGAACGGTGGACAAATTGAATGGAGGATGCATTGTGTCGTCGGATATAGAGAGGAGGACATTCAGCCCGAAGAATAATAATAGAAAAATCATATAACGTTTGCTACCAGTGTGTGAGATAGCTATCAGACAAGGAAGGAAGGAAGGAGGGGTGATAAATAGGGTATGATATTTATTGCAAATAAATACCGTGCAAAATATTGGTAACTTGAGATTCTGCAAATTATGAGTATACATATTATTGATATGCAAAGACTTAATTTTTAGTCCGAGTCAGGGCTTATGTACTCATCATGGTTGTCTGTCTGTCTATCGATTACGCTGATCCAATCGACTTGAAATTTTGCACACACGTAGAAATACACGGCAAAATGTGTGGAAGAATAAAAAGTTGATGGTACCCACCTGACTCGGGCCAAAGAAAGCTGGTTTTTACATTGTAGAAATTGCATATAAATTGTGTAACGATCTAAACAACGGCTTCTTCTATCAGCGTCCTTCCTCCATCAGCATTATCAGATTAAACAGGATCGATAAGGACGGGGACAAGGCGAGATGCAAAATCCAACTCACCTGACAACGTGTAATTAGTGCTGCCTTAGATGACGCAAATAATCCGTCCCATCTGACGCATCATCACTTCAATTCCTTGCTATCTTGATACCACAAAGTACATTCATATCGTCACAAATGAGGATACTCCTCCTTTGTTGGATTTGTAAAGGAAGATACTTTTCGATGTAGATCCCTCTCCTCGGCTGACAATAGGACGTGGTAATAAAGTGCATTGAACAGATTGTGTTGTTGTGATTATGCAACCAAGTTGTCCTGTCTGCTGGTTACTTACTTATTTAGCTGGTTGGTAATAATATACATACATTTTACGAGTACATGCACATGAAGCTGTGAAAAGTGTTCAACGACAGGGACCACATCCATCCATCAGAGATGCAGTCGTCATGATAAAGGCCGGATTTATATCTCGGCTTCTATTTCAATTTTATCTCTCTCCCATTGAATATCTATTTAATTGTTCCGTCCTCTTTATTCATGTCTTCTGAAGCGACTCCACTCAACATGTATTGTACAGGGTGGTACTTGATTATCAGATTTTCTCATCTTCCTTTGGGCAAGCCGAGAAAAATTCATCGAGGGTCGACCGGAACGTTCAAATATTCAAAATCATCTGAGCCCTCTGTTAGTCGTGCTTTGTTTACTCCCGATTAATTAATTAATTAAATATATCGGTAGAAGAGGATATGACTTGATATACTTCTTTATTACGCAAGCTTAATTAATTATTAATTAATTTTACGTTTTTCAATCCGAGTAAGTCAATTTAGTTATAATTTGGCTAAATAAATATATAGTGGCAGACCATATATTTATATAAATATATAAATATTAGTCCGTGGCAGACTTTGTAAAATTTCATTAAATTTTTTTTTGTTTTTGCAGGCTGAAAAAGTAATGACCTTGTCCTTTTTCATTTTCTTCGGTTGGTGAGTGACAACTCGTGATTATTTGGTTGCTTATTTCAGAAATTTATATTTGTTTATTACCAGAATCAGCTTCCTGCGTTGTGTAAGAAACTAATCGATTTAATGTAAGAAATCAAAATCCAGCGGCTGTCTTCTTCGATAAATTAAACCAGTTTCAGTTTTTCAACTTTGCCCAAGATGGAACCGCTGCAGATGCAAGCGCTTCAAGATCAATTGGCGTTAGCTCAGCAACAATTGACCTTAGCTCAGCAGCAGTTAGCCACGGCTCAACAGCAATTGACCTTAGCTCAGCAGCAGTTAGCCACAGCTCAACAGCAATTCATCTTGGCACAACAACAGTTTACTTTAGTCCAGCAACAATTAACCGAAGCTCCAGTACAGTTACCTGCAGCAACTGCACCACCGCATGACCAGGAGTTGTTGGACTGCTGGGAGTGGGATTCTGAAACGGGAGACCCAATTGTTCCACCCGCGCCTGTACTGTTAGCTGGACAAGGTCTGCAAATGGTAGATGCTAATTCAACCACTTGAGCGAGGTGAATCTAATAAAATTTAACACTTAGTTTAACTTTATTAATGATAATTAGTTTAACTTAATCAATTTTTTTATCCAGGATGGGCTAGATACATCCCCCAGTACAGTTTCGAATGCGACGGCCGCTACTTTTTCCCAACCACTCCTCTCTTCAATGAATTTGTAGATGGGATGCATAACAATGAAGTGGCAGAGTTCACTGTTAATTACCAGCTCAATGTTGAAGATGGATCAGGTCGTCAGCAAAACAATGGAAGGAGAAAGTCACGACAATCTCTTGTTTGTATGATTCTGAAAGCCGACCTTAAAAAGATTAGTGTGGTTGATGATGGCATCGGATTAACAATCACGAAGAATAATAATCCCCTGCTTCCATGGGATCCACCAGGTGGAGCAAACCAAGAATTTCCTCTACGAGTAACTATAAACAAGACCCCCAGGCCAGTTGAAGGTATTATTGACTTCTGCCAATTCCCAGAAAACAATTCAAATACATTTTTTTGTTTCTAGATATCATTTTGGATATAAACAGAAATGCCAGATTTATGATAACGGGTCCTGGAACATTTAGTTGTAGAGAATCGCATTGCGTCGTCACGAGTCCACTTTTGACTCGGAGTGCTTCAGTTCAGTGGGGAACCCAGCAACACCAGGTTTGTCATCAACAGAAACGCTACACATGTCGTATGAATGATTTGGTGTATTTATGCCATTGCAACGCTTGCCTCCAACTCCCAATTCCGGCTTGGACAACTTATATCGGAGAGTCTTACGTAGTAAGAAATAAATGATAAAATTCATTGTAATTATTTTAAAATATAATGCCTTTTGTACTCCATAGATTGTTGGTAAAAATGTACATGCACGTTGGCATAACCACCTGCTATACCTGACCAATTTCGGAAACCGAAACCTTTACACAATCGGGTCGGCCCTTCTGGACGATGCCGTTGCCGTAATTCTTGGACCTCCACCAACGCCTGACGTTCACGATCTTCTTAGGGATATTGCCGTCCATTTTACCTGCATCCACGCTGATACTGATAGACGCTACACAATTCTGCAACAAGGTTTTGGCAAGAATGCCGCTCAGAGGAGGGCAGCCGAGAATCAGTGGATCATTCAGTGTGGAAATGGTGTTTACGACGAACAAACCGGTTTTGGAAATTTAAATCTGTAAAATCAAAAACGAACATGGTAATATCTCACTCAGCAATCTACAATTCGCAAGACATTTCTATTTAAAGTACTGGTAGGGGTACTTTGAATGAGTATTTCCACAGCAAAATTTATGAACCAAATCTGTGAAGTCAATTATTCAGTTTTATGTATGACAAAGTCTTCATGTGATTCGTTTTTTACTAGCTAATGTCTGTCGTTTCAAATTGTCTTCTGAAGCGATAAAATAAAATACTTGTCAACCAACCATGTAATTATGTGATCTGTTCTTCCTTCGGTGACACAAAAACATGCATCATCATATCTGCGGATTATATAAATGCAGGAGATTTGTAAAATATGCATCGCGGAAAAGTGCACTGTCTGCAACATATAAACACGATTTATGCAATTATTTATTTGCGAAATAAGTAAGTTTCTTTACACCGATATTTTTTGGACTTTATGCTTTTATTTTATTTTTTGCTTGGACGAAGTCGTACTTCAATAATAATTATAATTACTGACACAGATAATACATAACAATAATAATTAAATAGTTTAATATATAGTAATTGCTAAACTCTTGAACTTTTTTTCTTTTTCTTGTTCGATACATACATACGCAATGTGAATGATTATTACTTAAACATACGTACTTTCTACAGTTACAGACACGGGACTACATCCTTTTTTTCGGTTTCCGGTGAATTGAATTGATGAAAACCGTTGAGTCGGGAGGCTCAATTCTTGCAAGGAATGATGTGATGACTATTAATCTAATACTATTACGTCAACTCTCTCCTTTCTTCATGAGAGAGTGCGTGGTTGCAGTGATAATTGGTTTGGTTTTATAATATTTAATTACTATTTTAATATATTAATTAAGAATATGAATGAATTATTAGCTAACTTTCCTTCTTAATTAACGCTAATTAATGCTCACAATTTCAATAATGATACAAATTATAATTAGGAATATGTAGTTACGCGATATTTAAACTGTACACGTATGTATTATGTTCATTTACATATGTACATATTATTAGATACACCTCTAAAGATAAACCATCCCCTCGAGAGATGATTCTTCTCATCATTTACAAATCTATGAAAGAAAAATTGCAGTTTTTTTACCTTTGCTATATTCAATCACATTATGAGAATGTGTACTAATTACAAAGTTAATTAAACGGTAACTGATTCTTCAGCTATGATTTTTAAGTTTATAGCGTAATTAGAAAGAGATCATCATCCAGACACGTAAATAGTGTGTGTTAAGGATACAACAATGAGCAACTTTGTCTCTTTTATAATAACTACAATATGCTGCATATTATGTTTTTAGTTTATATACGAATATTTAACACTATAGTTGTCCTACTGTGTAAAGTAAATGTTTCACTCAACTCAACCCAATCAATACCCAATAAATTTCTACAAGGTAAAAAAGGAAAGTGTGAACCATCTAATTTATCGTATTTTCAGCTGGAAATTGATTGGGTGAGACACACCCAATGTCTACAAATGTCAGATCTAATTGAATTTGATTGTGAAACGAGTTGCCAATCCTGCAAATGAATACGGAGGTCTTGTCGTGTTACCTGCTGTGGTTCTTTCTTAGGCGTTCTTCGACCACGTTTTATTTTATCAATAAGTGTTTGCAGGGAATGTGATAAAGTCAATTGTCAAAAGTATGCATATGCAAATACGTGGCGAGTGAGTGAGTGACCAACACCAACACAATAATTTCACAACCAACCAATCTAATCATCTCAGTATTTGTAATGTATGTAGTTTCTACATTCGCATGTGTACAAGGTGTAGGTCTGTAAACGTAACCGTAACTATTATCACCAATAAAATTATGAAGAAGTTGTAATTGTCACGTAATTGTAGTGGTATAGTAATAATGCATATATTCGAAATCTATGAATGTATGTGTACACTTTAGTCAAGTTAATACGTACGTACATGCCACCCGACCAAAAAAGTTACCAACTATTTTGAAATACCACTACTCCCCGTTGCGTATAACTACTTAAAACCGGTCCATTTGCTCTTGATTGTATTTCTTAATTTAACGATCCAAAATAAAACGAAATCAAAATATGCTCCATTACAAGAAAAGTAGTGAATAACTAGCATCAGAAAATTACAAAATTGAATTTTATGAAATACTTTAAAAGAGAACGGGCAGAGCTCGGCGAAAGTCTCCACTCGAGTTGCCGGAAGTGGGGGCAGATCCCGAACTCTGATGCGACATTTGGTACGGGTTTTGTACCCCGGGGTGTTGACCGTATTGCGCCATGTGAGCCAAACTGGGGGCCAGACCGCTTCCATGCGGTCCGTTGGGGAGACCGGCCTGGTTAAGTTGGGAGTAGTAGGAGGCAAGGGAGGAAAAGTGGGGTGGAAATCCGGGAGCGGAAGTGGTCATAGTGGGTGAGCTGCCAGAGTGGTCTTGATCGGGTGTGCCGCCGCCTCTATGTTGCGATGATGATAAGTTGTGTCCACTGCTGTTGGAATGTTTGTTGTTGTGATGAGCACCTGATGAGGGATTATTGGAATTCTGTTGGAGAGGGTCCGGCGTCCCGGTTGAACCGTCATGAGAATTGCTCTTGGGAGAGTCCGATGCGTGAGACTTGCTCCCACTGTGGGTTAATTCGTACCGATCGTTCGCATTCGATGTCGGAGTCGACCCTGTAACAAAAAAGGGGAAACTTAGCATTTCATCGGACGTTATGGGGCGAAGCGACTACTTTTACAAAAACGAATCATGACGATGAGAGAGGTGTTAGATGGTAGAGAACCAACCAAACATTAACACTTGACGAGAACATATTCTCACCCACTTATCACCAAACGATACCTTATAACCCTTACCAAACAGAAAAAAATGAGATGTTCGTACATACCCATAGAAAAAAAGTTATTGTAAAATTTCAACATCTGCTAAACACACGGCCTGTAAAACACCACCGACTGACTGACAGCATCTAACATTGACATTGAATTGTACTAATGAAAAAAAGCTTTTGTGAAAAAACCACACCGACCTTTCCATCAGTTAGTAAATAAAATATAACGTTCCTCTGCAAGCCATTCCACCACACTTGAAAAAAAGTACAAGCATGTGTGCTAGCAGCAGGCCAGGCACTACTCGTACCTACTTCTAGTTATACTTTTGTGATTCAAGCCAATATTTAAACAATTTGAATGGAAAAGTGTGAGGGTAATAGGCCATCATTACACACAATGCAACCAATCGAGTGTCGGCCAATTCATGTGATAAGATCACACTCGCGAGATAATCATGTGTGTATTGTGTGTCTGGAGAAAGAAAGGAGGAACAAGAGTGAAGTGCATATGCATAAAACACGAGTCCAGTCTGACTTTCTCAGAGAGAAGGGAAACCATATGTCAAGTCAGTCAACCTAATAAATGAAATGAGCAAGTATGATGACTTCTATTCAGGACAAGAATACCAAATTACCTCCGTGGCTCCGTAATACGGCACAAGCTCGACATGACAAAACCAAAGGAGGAGGAAGGAAGAAGGAGAGTAAAATGAGACAACATGCAGTGATGAGGAGCCATTCTTTCCAACAAATATTGACAAAGAGGAACAGCACGACCAAACAATGCATAATAAGGTTCGATAATAGAATAAATAGAATAAATAATGGAATTAGGAACGAGCAGAGGAAGAAGACAAGTTCGGTAGGTGGTGATGTGATGGGGGGACAAATGGCATGCACATGAGAGAAAAGCAGAAGGGTTAATTCGGGTAGAAATATTGAGATTTTCTGAATTTTTGACCAACTATTTTCAGACAATTCTGATCTAAATATTCGACCTTATTCTCACATCTCATTTCATGTTCTGCTACATACGATACATACATTTTTAAGCACGAGAGTAAAGTTAAAGGTACGTACTTACCAGAAGGTGTGAAGTGCTTGTTGGGGGAAATAGTCCCGCTGTCAAAGTATCTCGCGTTTCCAGAGTCCAGATAACTCTTCCCTGCCGCTTCCTGCATATATTTCGCCGCAGCCGCCGCCACCGCCTCGGCTGAAGGGTACATCGAGCTGATTGCCGAATATCGGTACTTATCCTCCATCCCGGAATAAGCCTTCATCGCATCTTGCATCGCGGAGGGCGACGTCGCGGCAAGATTCGCCGCAGCAGCGGCCAAACCTGTAAATAGAGAAAAGAAAAGGTATTTATAAATACTTTTGGCGGTCGAGTTTTTCTGCTGTTTTTTTTTCTCTCTCCCACATCAGTCATCCCAATAATTATAAATATTAGTCAGGATGGACTCGACCTACACTTTTTCAAATCCCACCCGAGGACTTCCAAAAGTCAAAATGACCTCACTCCACCCCCCTCACCTGCTGAACAACCACCTGCCAAAAAATCAAAAAAACAAGGATTGAAGGTCGCCCCACCACAAAGACCCACTACTGTTGATTGGGAAACCAGGCTGACCTTAAATGAGGACCGTGAGATTGGATTTGTCAACTCACAGGAAGACTTTGAGCCGTTATATGGCGAATGTAAGGTGTTTTTTATACATCCTTCTAATCTCACAATTACTAAATTCACTTAAATATGGTAAATCGACTCGTAGGTCCACCCACTCTCTCCTCGTCCAATACTCTACCCATGCCGACCCGAAAGACTCAATCTCCTCTTTTCGCAATTAGACAAGGGATTTTTCATCTCCTTCAAAATTGTTGCTACTAATGTTCAATATATGGTTCCAATTTATAAGACTGTCAAGGTTGGAGAGAATGAGCAACAGGTTTTACATGTTGAAAAGATGGAAAAAGTGGGTGCGCAGATGAAAGTTTATGATAAAGTTATTATTTATTGGATTTAAAAATTCTAAAAATATTTGAATAAATGAACTATTGGTCTTACTCGTGTTGTGCATCGCGGAGCCAAATCCGGCGGCAGATCCGTAAGCGCTGTTGTAATAGCTGGACATTTGAGCAGCTCCGGGAAGGCCTGCTAAAATTTGAAATAAATAAAATATTTAGGAATTTAGCTACAGCTTTAACTTATTTCTAATGTCGTGGCATACATAATAATAATCTGCATGCATTATTATCCCTTTGAATCGAGAGATGCATCCAAGTAATTCATAACTTCCACCAGTTTCATACATAAGATTACAACCATTAACAAGTAACCAGGACCATATTGTTCATGTAATTTTTGTCCATTCATACATTTCATTGAGGGTACAATGGCACAATTTAAACTGGAAATTCATTACATATTCTTCAAGTTCCTCATTTGAATTTCAATGACTGCATGAGCTAATGTTGCAGAGTTTATTTCTTTATTCATCCCCAGCATTTTCCCATCTCGCACCACACACTCCCTCCATCCACCAAATCATAATCATAATCGTAACATAACACTAAATGTAATCATAACTCAATTCCTGTATTTCATCCTATTACGTTTTTTCACTTCACCCAACTGCGAGTATATTAAATGATGTGACCTTGTGTCTTGTGTCAATCCATACGCTGCTTAAGACTTACACCACCAACGCAATGCATGTAACTGGACAAATGGACCACATGTATGGAAAAGAATGTCATACTTTAAACCCTCATCAATTTGAAAGCCAGCTAGAAAAATGCCATTTTCTTCTCATACCATCATCATAAAACTCACCTTGTTCGTCCCATAATGGGACATAACTCATCATTTTACTAGTTACTACAAGAGTTAAAATTGCTTCATTCCATCCATCCATCCTCTAACCATGACTTCATTACTCTCCTATTATTCAGTTCACATTCATTGAATAATGAAGGAGCATCCTGCCTGCTTGATGATGAATTGGTGCAGCAAGATGTAGTATGGACAACATATGACAAACGTGGACATTTTGAATTCAAACTAAAACTGTGGCTTAACATAAAACCAAACCAGCAAACTTTTGTGTCACCAATTCTTCACACTTGTCCTCTACTGAATAAGCGTGTGTACATTATGATCGATCCAACCAAACAACCTTCCTTCGTTCCATTTGTCGTCGTCGTTGTCCCCATTTTTTTCTTCTTCTTCAGTTATTATCTTATTAGACATTTCCTTTGAATTGTATTGTTGCTCTTGAGGAGAAATGACAATAATATCCGAAGAGAATGTAGTAATGTGGGGACAATACTCAACCCTACTACACTATTTGTGAGAATAGTCTCAAATTCCCTTCAATTATTCTTTGCCAGCAGTAGCAGCAGTGGTAGTAATACATTTTGTACACATATTTCTTTTCTTCTCAGTCTTCTTGGTCTTCTATTTCTCTCCTCGTCGCAATCCATCCATTCCACGATTTCACTAATACTTTACTTTCCTCTCCGTATTTCTATCCCAGTTTATTTTGCCAAGAAGCCTGGGTGAGTAAAGTGAAGCCTCGAAATGCCCTGGCTGGGTTTGCTGGGCCTGTTGAGGGTTGAGACTGTTCGTTCCCATTCTTCTTTCCCAATTCAATAGAAAGGAATTAAAAAATTGACACTTGCATACACGCGATACAATGGGACACAATACCAGCCCACAGCCATCTCGAATCAAAATACTCCAATCCCGCACCAAATCCTTTTCCCATTTACGAATAATAATTGAATAGAAAAGTAGACGTAATACTAGACGAAGAGAAGAAGAAGTGTGATGATGACGATGATGATGAAGAGGAGGAGAGAAAAGCCAACAAAGTAAAACCAATCTTTAAAAAAATGTGCTCAATCTCGTCAATTCTTTCTTTTTCGAATTCTCCCTGTCCAATAATATTTGACTCTTGTTCCCCACAGAAGTAAAATCCAAATTAATACTCTTCGCACCCATGTAAATACATACGTCAAATCCCTCCTCTCCGGACTAAGTAGCATTGAACTGCCTGCGTACGTACGTTCATATTATGTTGATAACAATTGGGAGCAAAACGTGTAATTATTTTCATTACAATCACCTTTAGATTCACAATTCTATTCTAGTCTGAGAATGACTTGGCAGTTCGGCCTTATCCTCCTTAACGTCACACCAACAGTCAGTCAGTCATCTCTCATAATGCTTACACACTTTGGTTGGTTGACTATATGCAAAACAACAATCATAATTATTCGGAAGTAAGTGGTGATGGTGATTTACTCGGCTTTTGCTGCAAACAGAGAAGAGATTCTATTCAGAAACGACTAACTATTTGTCCGCCCACTCATTTCGAGTTTCAATTAGTCGACTCAATACCTTCTCTGTCACTTCGATTAGTCGGATAGTGTCAGGAGGAGGCTGTGATTAGTATGTAGGGCTACGTAATGAAATGGAAGTAACGGAAAATCCGTCCTCCTCAGAGTGTCATCAACCTCACCCAGCACAATAATTATCCAAATAATAAAAACTTTAATTCTCCCGTGGACAAAAATAAGCACTACCCGAAATTAAAATGAGAGGGAGAGAGAGGTTTTAAGGGTGCCCTGGACTCTCGTAAAATCTCGCAGTTTCATTCACTCAAGAAAATAAACAAACCAATGTTGAACCAATATTTCAATCACTATTCGCACTGGGAGCAAATTAAAATTGAAGGGTTCACTCACTCAGCATCAGCACCCATTCTTCACCCTGCTAACCCTAGCTGTTTTTAATCACGGGGATAAAAATAAGTAAAAGTATACTTTAGAAATGTGACCAAATGAAGGCTAATTCCAGAAGAGAGAGGGCATTATAAAAATTCTACAACACGTTTACACTTTCCTTTAGATTGAAAGAATATAATGATGAATGAATGGCACCCGAAGTTCGTGTGGACATTGAATCTCGAGACCGTGGTGTGGTGTCCATAAGAAAACGGGAATTTTCAAGCCTGTCGAAGGTTTAAGAAATACTTTGGTAGAGAGAGAGGTTTAGTTGTTGGGCGGATGGAGAAATACAAGATTTTCCTCTCTCTCCTTCCTGTCCATGTCTTCTATTGTGTCTCCATTTCTCCCAAAATCCAATCCAATTTCCCAACAATCCTATCGGGTCATCGTCATTATTCCCATTCTCATCCATCATTCACTCAACTCGAGCCGTATTCAAGCCTTATACATACGGCTAAATACGTCCTTTAAATAAATACCCATCCAGTCACCAAACCTCCAGTCCACAAGGATGAATGCTGTAAAGTAATGCTGCCACAAGAATGGGAGAAAGCTGAGGAGGAGGATGAAACTCAATGCAGTTTAACTTTCTTCACATTTCCTTGTTCTTACGTCAACAATCTCACTCCTTTCTCTGCTCCTGGTTCTCATTCAGTCATAATTTTCTATTTAAGTATATCTACAATCGGTTTTAACAACGAAATTAAACACCCCCGCACTCAATCTAATAGTAAATAGCAGACGATTTTCCAGCTCATCGGTAAATGTTAGCAGCGAATCGAAGCCAAAATCCAAACGAAATAAGAGAAAGAATCCATTGTGCGAGGAGGGTCACACTTAATCAGCCAAGTATTTGACTGATTGACTCGAGGTGAGCGAGGCTGCCATAAAATAAAACAGCGACGGACGACGAGGATCCCTCTCCGCCGTCCATCAATCCGGTCCTTTTATAGCAAATTCAATGCAATTCAATCCAATATGTCAAACAAACTTAGGTATAAATACACGAGACGAAAGGAACATTCAGACATTGTGAATGCGAACCATAATGTTCTTTAAGTGGGCTTCTTTCTCACCATAAAAGTCGTCCGTAGTGCTGCATCTTCCCGCACTTGTTATAAAACATTTTCCATCCATATTTTCCTCAGTCAGTGACATTATTCTGTAAAATGTGACATGGAATTGATACGATGGGACGAGGCCAACTGTTGTATTGTTTTGTTCATAACTGACTGAGTGACATCGCAGAGATGGTGGAATTAATACAAATCGCCCGACTTTGACACCACGACACGACCCTCACCACTTCAGCCTTGTCAGTTCGCTACTCATTACGCCAAATCCACTCTCTGGGGTTGACAATAATAATAATCTCGCTTTCATTTATGTGTACATTCGAAGAGGTTGGTCTCGCTTTGGTTACCCCATCGACTTGTTTTATAGCTTCGACTGACTGAGTGGGATTTGGGTTCGGCTCACGTATCGAATTCCGTCAATTAGAATTCGTCACAAGCCACAGGCGGCTTAGGAGACTTTATTATTAAGTGTTTTTGGTTTTATTAGCAATTTCAAGTCAGTCGCCTTTGTTTTCCATAAACCGTTGCTAATTCCATTTTCGGTGGTTCTTCTCCCATCAAGCGAGAGAGGAACAGATTTTTTGTATCATTTCAGTGTCATTCATGGTCAGGTCACCCTTTCCCTGTCTGGATGCAAATTTCTCTTTCAAAACAAAATCCAAGCCGGGATCCAGGTGCAAAGGAGAAAAATTATTAAATGGGCAAAGATTTCGTGTTTTAGACTCAAAGAATGGGAAACGAAACGATATTATTTGGCTCCCATACTTGGAACCTCAGACCGCTTCATTACCCTCTGTGCGACCTTATCTCACTCACACCTTTGTTGTGAGTTGTTGTAACATAATATGCCTTGGTAAGCTAAGTAAGCCTACTGAAGAAGAAGAAGGACTATGTACATACACTCCATATTCGTCACTACGAAGGACATGGTGGACAATGAAGGATCTTTTTTAAAAAAATTGAAATCTCTACAATATCACATTTCCGAAAATCCACGGAATGACTTTTCCAGTACGATTTGGAGGAATCGAGATTTGTTAATAATTTAATAACTCGAGACTTTTGAGAGAGCAAAGTTGTAACAAGTTTGCGAGACTTGAACGCAGAGAAAAAATATTAATATTACGAGAAAGACCAGGTGTAATGCCGAAGGCGTTTTGTCAAATCTCAGCAGCAGTTTGTGCAGTTGCTGCAGAAGTGTAGTCGTCATATAAAAATGCCAATGTCAAGGTAGTCACAAGCTACTGCGGCCATTTGGTGGACACTTATTTCAGTTTTCTCATTG